TATCTGGATACTGTAATGGTGCAAGCTGTTACTAAAGCAATCTGAGTTTCATATTGTAGAGCAAGACAATTCCATTTGTACTAAAGCTCTTTGTGTTCAGACACCTGTCAAGTGAATTCTTCCCTTCTCATACCTTACCTGTGTATGACCATTCTTACAAATTCATTTCACATCACTTTTGGTTTTGAGTTTTATATCTTACTGATGTTTTTGTGGATGTTTCCTCACAAATTTATTGATCATGAAGGTTTCAAAATTATACAAATGACTGTTCTTGAAAATTTTAAAAAATACTTTCTTCAAAATAAGTCTGAGTAATAGCAAGTAGGTTTTGCTCGTGGATTTAGACACTTAGAAGTGTCACAAATGACAAGCTGAATGCACAACATTTGTTTCTTCATGATTAACTCAATGAGACCGTGAAGATCACTGTTTTGCAAGAAACTTCTCCCAGATTATATTGAAAATGTGACACCAAATATTATTTTGGAATACTTTTCATTCAAAATGAAACTCTGTGCAGTGGTACAATGTGATGCTATTGCACTTAGAGGAGAGCATGAGAAAATAATTGAGTAATAGTTTGAGAAAACCTTTTGCATAGGTACTGCTTTGCAGGCTTTGTGAGGATTAAACATTTTAATGTCTGTGTTATACTAGGTTCAGTATTATAGAAACAATGAATATAATTGACTTTTTAATTAGATGACTTGTGTGTATCACAGTTATTTCATGCTAACAAGCCCCAAAGTTCTTCACAGTACCCTGGCCAGTTCTGAAATAGTAATTGAGAAATAAAAGTATAACATACCAGAAGATTTTGAACATTACAGTTCTTCAGGCAATTAAGCTTTGTAGTATTTTTGGTCTTATTGTGGTCAATTTTTGCCACTTTTTTTTTCCCCCAATGAAAATGTTGTTGTCAGGCCTTGTCCAACTTGTAACTGTGAAGTAATGAATTGATCCTCTGGAATTTGGAGTTCTGAGGTGAGTGGTGTACCAAGGTTGATTATTGCACTAAATATCTTCCATCCTCAACTGAAGCTGCAAAGGACAGAGGAAGCTTTACATTTCTTAAACTTAAGCCAAACCAGAAACAGGAAAATGCTGTGATTTGAGTCAGCAGGGAGCATACTTGGGATTCAAACACAAATGCAGGAAAAGAATAAATCTGTTGAGTGTGTAATATAAGAAAGTATTTCCTTGTGTTTGTGTTGAACAAATACATCAAAGTGGTCTTTAAAGATGACTTTAAAGATTTAAACAGCAGCAGTGGGTGGGGGACTGTAAGCTTGTTAAATCTCAGACTTTTCAATTTATTTCAACCACCACTGTTACTCAAGGAGGCTAATTACAACACATGCTGTAATAGTCAAAACCATAGACCTGCATATTTAATGTTCTTAAGTGACAGATGTTTATGCATTTGACATCTCTTTTTTTTTTTTTTTTTTAAGTTTTCTTGAAACGTTCATGAAAACCTGTATTAGCCAGTGTGTTGGATTTGAAGATGTAAGATCCATTCATCTCTTACAACATAATAAAAAAGGCACTTTCAATCAGGTCTAATAAATGGAGTCTTGTCTTTGACCTTAGAGACCTCACTAGAAGGTGGAAGTAGTCCAGACTAAAAGATGGGAGGATGGCTTTGGGCTGGTGCTGCAGATCACCACCAGTGAGGACCATGGGTAGAAATTCTAAGTTCCAGTCAGACCTTGGATCCAGTATTTACTTTCTTCCAGTGAGACATCTTTGAGGAACCTTGCAGTAGGGTGACAATCAGACACCTTACTGTAGCTGGGATTTGATCTTGCAGTGATTTGCTGCTTGCAGACTTGGAGACAAGATCTTCAGCCATTATTTCTCTTAGTGCTGGGACTGCAGAGCTGCTTGGCAGTGACAGCAAGCCCTGAGCTGCTGTTGGGTCCCATGTGGCTGCAGCTGGGAGCTCTTGTCTTCATGGCAAGGCACAGACCAGGTGCAGTGATTGTTAATTCCTGACTCATTCAACAGCTGACTTTACCTATTCAGATTTTATTTAGTGGGGACAGCAGAGTGTTAGAGATATCATTTCTGCTAAGTGAGACCTTATTTTCATTACTTCAGTTAAAAGTATGCCTGTGACTCCTCTTCTGGCTATCCAGGATTGTATGGTTCCAAGCAAATTATGTTAATCAGTTCTGTTCTCTCTGGATCCCCTAAATGAATATTACTTCAGCTATTAAAGGAAAACAGTCATCTTAGAGCAGAATATAGCTATATTATGTTAATACTGTTCACCATTCCCCTTTATTATTTGGTGAAGTATGCAATATAAAAACCATGGAGAAATGCAAGTTTAAATAGTCTGGGAATGGTTGGAGAAGATTCATTTTTAAAAGACATAATTAAGGTGTAACAATATTAGATTGGCTTGGCTGGGGAAGGAAGGGAAAGATGCATTATTTTAAAGAAGAAGCAGAAGGTACAATAAAATAACAGATTCATAGACATTAATTGATTTTGTGTCTGATCCTACCTAATAAAAGAAAATCTCTAAGGTTTCTGCATAGAAAACACATTAAATGGAAATATATTTATTTAAAGTACCTTTAGGGGCTTTGAGAGAGTTTGTGTGCCTTCAGTCCTTGCAAGGTAGATTTTAATATTTATATATGTGAGGCTAGAGGCATAGTTGATGCCATTTTGTTAATGGAGAGAGAGATCTCCAGGAACTCCTGCATGTCCAGTGAGTTACTGAGCAGCCCCTGGCAATTCATTTGGCTTCTGTGCTGCTTGCCAGGTGCCAGCAGCCTCTTGGGGAATAAAAACAGGGGGCTGCCTTAATGTGCTGCTGTGGAATGTCAGTGTAGAGACATTCGTGCAGAGCTGTGCAGCTCAAAAAAATAATGAGATCTGGGCATAAATCTGATGTTGGATTAATTTGGTGTCTGCTTCCCAGGACATGAGGGCAGCCTTTTCCTACTCAGGAGGTTCGGCCATGCCATACCTTCTTGTACGCTGGTGATAACTCAGCAATTCCTTAATAAATCACTAGAACTCATTCTTCCTTTGTGAGAAGTAAGATTTGATTAATCTTTCACGTGATCAGCTTCCATGCCAGCTTGAAGAGAAGCTGTCAAGTGGTACCAGTTCAGCAGAGGAGCTGCTGTGGCCGCTGTGAGTCCGCGGGGATGCGGAGCTGGCGGATCCTCGCCTTGCAGGCTGCAGGCAGCGCTGGAGGAAAAAGAGTTTGTTGTGTGCCCAGCCAGCTGCTGGTGTGACCTCGTAGGGCTGGAAGAATGAGGCTGCTGTGGGAGGCTCGTGGAGGGTAGGCAGGGCCAGCAACTGCCACTGAAGAATTGGAAATTTTAAGTGATGTGAGAAGGCCTAGCAGTCTTTGTGCATCAAACCAAACAACAACCACCCCAAGCAGATTGTATTAAATTTTTTTCTTCCCCTTTGCTTTTTCTTTCCACTTCAGATAAGCTTTCCAGAATTTCTAGGTGATACTAGGCATACAAAGGGCCTGCTTTCAGCTGATTTAGTTATATGAAAGCACTCATAATACTATAATTTTGTTAACATTTACAAATAACTGACTAAAGGTTGTTTCTAGTGTGTTAGATGTTGATCAAGACTTTTTTTGATTATGTCGTTATTCAGCAAGGAAACTTTCAGATATTTATTAAGTGCTTGTAAATTAATGAATTATGCTTTTTGCAATGCTGCTCAAAAGCAACAGTCTTGGTTTTAAAATTAGTTTCTGAGCTGGAAAATTTGACTTGTGTGTGGTGTGTGTATTGACTTGTGTGTGTTGTTAAACTTGTCTGTGAAGGTGTTGATGGGAGCAAGTTTTTTCCATTAGATGAAATGGTTCAAACATATTTCTTCATTCTGTATTTCTTTATTTAAATATAACTTCTGAATCTGAAACAGCATCTGATAAATGCAATGAGATTGAATACAATTCAAGTGTTTTGCATCAGAATGTTCTTACACTGACTGCAGCCTGAACTGCTGTAGCCTTTGCCAAGGTCACCCTTGCACAGAGTGGATACAGGTCTAAAATACTGGTGGTTAACAGCTTCTCTGTAGAAAGCTATAATGATGTGGGTATGAGTTTCTTTTCATAATATCAAGACTCAGTAGGAACTTTTAAAAGTATTTCTCAGGTTTCCTGTGTTTTAGTCCTGTGTTTAAACGTGGTTTTGTTGGGTGTGTTATTTATCTGACCTCAAGAGCAGAAGGGAGTTGCTTGTTACGATTGAGCTGCTGTGTTTTCAGAAGCTGCAGGGGAAGGCAGGCTCTCTTGGCATCAAGGTGGTCCAGTTGCTTTTTGAGAGGAAAAGCACAAATTTCTTTGCTAAGAAAAACAGAAATCAGAGGCCTCAGAATGAAATGAAAGGAATGGAAAGTCTGAGGATGTATCAGGTCAAAGTTTGCTCTTCAAGCTTTCAATTCCTAAGCTGCCTTTTTAGGCTTAGGGTAAGAAGTGAAAAGACTTTAATTTTTAGTATTAATTATGTACCTAGTAACAAAACTAATTTTTTTTCCTGCTACTTCTTGCTTGTTGCTTAGAGTGAGATTTGTAGTTTTGAGAACACATGAGTTAACTCTCCTAAGTCAAGCAAAGTCTCAGTGCCTTTCCTTGAGCACAGTAGTAAAGGGAGGAGCCTTTTTTTTTTTTTTTGGTTGGTAAATCAGCTAACAACAGTATGATCAAAGAAAACAAAACAAAAATCACTTGGGTTTCAGTTCAGTAGTATAACACAGAGTGCTTTTACAGAAGATAAAAAAAGTTTTCTTAAGCCATTCAATGTTGTTCTTAAGTTATGCAGCTACTTTGATTTAAAATCCTCGTTCTGTGCTTAAAATATTAGTTCTTCTTTACAGTTCAGAATTCTTGTTCACTTGTTACTACAAATTGCTGCTGTAATTGCTGACTTTTAAGAACCTATACAGAAATGATTTTGTGCCATGAACAACCAAGACTAATAAAATTTTATCTTTGTTTTCAGTCCAGAGGAGCTTCCTGTCCATGATGCAGTGATAGAAAAGGTAAGTCCACTGTCCTCCAGGTTTTACTAGTAAGTAAACATTTACAGATTTACAGCTTTTAAAAACACAAATCATTGTGAAATGAGTTGATGAAGCATTTTAGTGATTTGCATTTCCAGAGAAGCACATTCTAAGACCCCTAAGAGCTATGTTCTTGAGGCCACATTAACTCACCCACAGATCCCTGGAGACCCACTTGTTTTTACATTTGCTCCTGTCAGTGAGAGTGAATATTCCTCTCCCATTATGTGGCCTAGTGAAGGAAATGGAGCTACTTAAGAGCTCACACCCAGCTCTGTCCTGAAAGAGTGAAAGCTGTGGTCCTGTGCCAGGAGCTGCCATCAGCTGTGCAGGGGGATGGATGATGTGAGTGAGGTGGTGGCACTGCCACCTGGGTCTGTGCTGCTGTCCTGAGGAGCCTGGGCTGCTTTGCTGCTTTGGGAAATGGTGACAAATATCCTGCTGCCACTATGGTGTGGGGACCTCCCTTGTAATGCTGAATTGCTGAGCTGGGTGTATTTCACATGTACAGGTCCTGTTGGCAGCTGCTCCAGGTCCTAGTCCAAAATTCCTTCTGCTGCTGGAGGGTTCTGGAGAAGTAGTTTGACAACTGATGTGTTGGAAATGTGGAAAAATAATGGGGAACTGAATTTCTTCCTGTCTGAGCCTAGTTACTGTTGGTATTTCCCCTTGGTCAGTCGGGTCTGTGGTTACCTGCAAGAACAAATCAAATCAGAAAACTGAAGATAAGGTATTGAAAGTTGCAAGTTAAGTTATCCCTCTTGGTTGCACAAATTGGAAAAAGGATGGGATGACTTATTTCAAGGCAGCTCAGCTCTTTGAGTGTTAAAAGCAGCAGTGCTTCTGCAAATTAATTATTTTGTGCTTCAGTTATGTACTGAAGCTAGTAAGAGATGCTTACTGTGAAAGAGTAGAACTTGTAAGTCTGTTTTGTTTTGCTTTGGTTCATGTGTGGTTTTGCATACACAGCATGAAATAGTTGCCTTTTCCTGCCATGTTTCATTACATTTAATAACACAGTGAGTGTATGTATAATTTCATTTCCATCAGAAGGACACAGTAGCGGGGGGTGAGTCTCTGAGCAGAAATATTAGGCAGCTTGTAGCTACTCTGGTAGGTGTGTTTTGAAGCTCTGATTCACTGTGGCTTTGTAATTAGCCTTAAATTATTTCAGGGAAATAGTGTTTTGGTTCTCTGTCCCAAATTCTGTTTGTGCTGTCTCTAAGTGTCAGCATAGAAACTGTATTTATGGAGTCAGTGTTAAATTGCATGTCCTCGTGTGTTTTAATAATCATCCAGTGATGCTCCTGCATTAGACTCCTGGTTACACTCCTGATGGTATCCTGACCTCTGCTGGTCTGAGCTTTATCTGGCTCCTGTCAGAATCTGCAATTTTCAAGATACTCTCCATAAGGATTTCTGTGTTATGTTAATGTAGGCTAAGATTAAAAGCTTTCTGCACAATGTCTTTTGCAGCCACTTGGTAGAACTATTTATGCTTTCCTTTTGCATTGTGAATTAAAAAAAAATATATTCGTAACTCAAGTTTTCATATAATTTGCAACTTATGTAAAAGGTTGATATCCTTGTGAATTTGGAATCTGTTCTTCACACACAAAAGCCCCTTAGGCTGGGATTTCTGTGGGTCTGTTTTTGGTCGTAATACCTTTACTCTGCATTAACAGTAATAATTACTCATTTTGGTGCTTCATTACTTTGCTGCACATTTGATGCCTTAAATGCATCAAATCATTGTCCTACATCATGAACTACTTAATTTTGAGATGGATCCTCAGATAAAACAAGGGGAGGAAAGATTTTCTGGAGGAGGAAAGGAGACAGAACTGACCTCAGGAAATCTGGAGTCTGTGTCTGACTCTTGATTTTGAAGTTCTGTGAAATGTTTCATAAGTATTTTTCAGTTAGGTTTTGCCATTGGTTTACTTGATTATAAATTCTCTGGGGAGCAGTTCAGCAGTTTTGTGGGAGGTTTCTGCTGAAGCATTGCTTTAAGCCCAGCCCCTGGCACATGTGCTCTCCAGAAAGGTGGAGTGCTGCACACGAGAGAAGTGCTTGGCAACTTCATGATTTTTGTGCTTTCACTAGTGCATTGTTTGCTGACATGAGAGTAGAAACCAGCTCTGCTTCAATTAGGGATTCTGTTACTCGCGTGGCAAAAATGCTTCAAAGTGTAAAATGTACTCAGAAGACAGATAAATGGATTTTTTTTTTTTTTGGTGACAACTACATGGAACTTGTCTGAAAGAGCAGTAGCAGCATCCTTCTGCAATGAGCTGCCTCAGATCTGTGTTTTCAGTGTTGTACCTGTTAGACATAAAAGTGAACATAATTCAGACAGGGAAAGAGATAGCTAAAAGTTTTCAAGAACTGAACACAAAAACAATTGCTATTTTGACTACAGTAGCATCACTTGAGAATGGTTAAATTGACACAAAGACATAAAAGCTTGAACAAACATAAAATTGAAGTGAGCTTCTGGCTCAAAAGACCAAAAATCTTGAAAGCAGATCAAACATACAAACAAAAAGACTGTGAAAGCAGATAGGGTTTTATTTTTCTTACCAATTACATGAACAACCTGTTGAGGGCAAAGACCTTTCCTGACTTCCTGTTATTCCTGCAGTGTCAACTATGCCTAAAGAACAGCTGCTTTAAGAGATGTTGAAAATGCTGATTCCTTAAAGGGGTTGCAAGTGTGAAGGAGAATCAGAAACAGTGTTGTGAAATCTTGAAAACAATAGTTTTTCTAACCTTCCCCTCTAAAAAGTCTTAAGAAATGTCTTTTAAAAAATACAAGAGGTTTTTATTTGAGATATTTTAATTTGAGATATTGCACAATTCAGACAGGACCTGAACAGGAATGTGGGCAGTTGATTGCAACATGAGTAGTTAGATAAGGCTGAAAGAGTAGAGGCACTTCTTTTCCCATTACATTTTTATACTTGTGTCAGGCTTAGAGAATTTGAATTCAAACAAAAAATAACTTGAAAATCCAAGCCAACTTCTTTCCAGGACATTTTGTGGATGTATCATACATAGTTGGAGTGGACCTAAACTTCATCAAGTTATACTTCTGCTAATGCAAGGCTTTGGGCTCCTGGATTAAAGAAATTTAGGAAGTTAAAGAAGCCCATTGTATTGCATTGGTAGCCAAGAAAGAATGCACAAATTCTGATGGGTAAAAGCTAGAAGTAAAATTAGGATTCTATTGGGACAATAAGTAGTAATTTTCTTTTATATTCACCCCAACATTTTGGATGCAATTGACTTTATAAATACTTAATGAAAGTATTTATAACTTTTCAGTATCCCGCAGAGCTTTAAAATTAAACTTTTACATTGTTGCCAGATTGGATCACTAACCATATGAATATCCTTCCTGTCTTTATTAATCCCTGGATTTGAAGTTGGAGGTAGAGGGGCTGTCCTTTACAATATAACTAAATACTTTTTTTATATTCAACACTGAAGAGAAAGCAGTAGCCACACACATTCATTTTTCTGCTCTAACCTTTCCAGTTGGATCTTCTGCTCCAAAGCTTTATGAGAGAGTTGAAATAGTCTCATTAAAAACATGTAACAACACACAGCTAACTATTAACTTTATAGTATAATCAGAGATACTTTGCAAGATGTAAAACTGAGCTGTAAAAATAAGTGCTAAAAGACTTATCAGTGGAGCTAACAAAATACAGATTTTTGGTCGTGTAGTGCCAAAGTGCCTTGAAATTCGTGGGCTGAGATGGCTGATTCCAAGTGCTTGTTTGGTTCCCAAATTTGAGAAGCTGATGGCAACTCTAGCAATATTTTTATAGACAGAAGGGCACTCTCTAAGGTAGTAGGGCTGTACTTGCTCTACTGATTAATGTAACTATTTATTGTGAGAAAATGGGGTTTGTTTTGATTTGGATTCTCATTCTATCACCTTGTTACTGAAATATTCTTGTCAGTAATAAAATTTAAGCTAATAGATCTTCAGAAGAAATCCTTGATGTTAGGTTACAGGGTAATTCAGGTGAAAATGTGCCTGAATTCTTCAGGAGGAGAAGTATGGCAAGGATTTCTAGCTTTTAATGTCTGAAAATTAAAGCTTATTCCCACTTCTGCTCCTGCACTGTCACTCTTGCATGCATTTGTTTTTGTTCATTTTTAACTGTGTGCCTTTTAAGAGGGGATGGTTAGTGTGATCACTTGCAAACAGAAGCTAATGATGTTTAGGGCAAGTTTGGGGAAAGAATATAATTTCGGAGACAACTAACTTTTAAGTGGCTTGCAGCAGAAATTATTTGCCTGAAAACCAAGTATAAAAACAAATGGAAGTTTTGTTGTTTTGAGGTTTTTTTGGTTTTTTTTTTTTTGTTACTTGCCAAATATGCAAAAAAGAAACTTCTAGGAATCTTGTACTTAACCTCCTCTTATAAAATACAATTCATCCATAGTGCTGAAAATAACAGTTTCTCCTTGGTTTTTGGTTGGCTGGTTTTTTGGGTGTTTTAAATGAACTGATGAAATGAACTCTTTGCTGTTCTCAGATGACTGAATAAAAAATTCACAATGCTCTGATGCTCTGTTAAACTTTTTCTTGTTCTTTTAAAAAAAAAAAACATAGACAACTTTAAATGCATTTGTTTCAGAGATACTGAAAATTTCTAATTTCTTTTCAGCAAAAGAACCTTGAAATTGAAAGAACTACAAAATGGCTTAAGATGCTGAAAAGCTGGGAAAAATACAAGAATAGTGAAAAGGTAAAAGTCTGCATGGCTGAATGTCATTGGCTGTCATTTTGGAAAGAATGCATACCCTGAAATTAGATTGCCTGTGTTTGATATCTGAAAAAAAACCCCAAACCCCACACTGAAAGAATAAGCTTTTTTGTTCTTCCAAAATGCAATCATACCTAATACCCCAATAGTAATTACCCAACAAAATGGGTGATCAAATGCAAGGAATTGTGTTCATGTGTGCAGAATAATCTGTGGACAGAGTGGGTCATGTCAGGTGTGCCATTAAGTGCTAAATACTTGCTTTAAAGCTAGGTGGGGACTTCCATGTGAGCAGTTTATTTGCTGGAATTGTGGTCTTGGTCATCTTAAAATTATGGAAGAATTTCAGCTGGAAAAAAAATTGCTGGATGGGCTTTATTCCAGCAGTGGGCTTTGGTGGGTTTTATAGCTGGTCTTGTGGCTGTTTGGTGGATAATGCATGGAATCCCAAATTGAGATTCCTTCTTGTCTTCAACACAGCTTAAGACTTGTGTTAAGCTGTTTTAACACAAGACAGCTTAACGCAAGCTGTCTTGGCATTTTCTTTTGAGGCTTCTGTTGGTATAGCTCAGGATCTAGAAAGTCCATTTTCTTAAAATATGTTCTGAATGCATGAAAAATAACTACTTTTCCCCAAAGTTTTTCTTATAATCCTACTTTTTGTCTTGCAATTTTTCTGGGAGGAGAAATTATGGATCCTAACTGTTGTGACTTTGTTTCTGTTTTGTTAATGTAGCAGTAAGGAGATTTTAAGATCAAATATGTTCCCAAGGCAAAGGGACAATAAAAAACCGCTCCATAACAGCTGCTTTGTTTGCAAAGAGACTGTTAAATATGACCTTTCAGGTAACACAATAACCACGTGTCATCTAAGCAGCAGTGGTTGTGCTCTTCAGCCATTGGTGACATCAGTCCACGAGACACTGACTTAAATAATCCTCTTCACCAGGCATGCAGAAGGTCTGGCAGATCAGCTGAGCAGAAAGAGTTTCAGTTCATGTAACAAATTATAGGCTGAACTATAAATAGGGGCTGGAATAATTCAATATGTTCATAAAGGGATGAACTTCACTTGAGGCTAGGAAAAATTTTCACTCATTGTGGAACTCCAGTGAAGCACATGAGGTTTAAAAAACAAGGGTGTTTTCCTTATGCTATCTCACCTCTTATGTGCTAAGTGAACCAGAAGATACACAATAAAGAATCAGCTGCTTCCTCCTCCTGAGCATCGGAAAGCCAGACATTATTTGTCACTGCTCTTTATGAAAAGCCTGGCCATGTTCTCAGAACTGTGCAAAACTCACAATTAAAGGCAATTTGTATCTGGAAGTGTGTTGGAAGAATGCACCAGCTTTCCAAGTTCACATTCTTGAAACATGGAAGGAACTGTTCCTCAGTCTTGTTTTCTGTCTTCCCTTGACTGAATGAAGTGGTTAATGTTAGAGGAACAAATTGCTAAAGTAAATGAACAGCCTGTGTGTTATAAGACTCACATCACCTGACACTGCCATGGTTTCTATGCAGCCAGGCAGCTCCTGAAATGAGTATTCTTTATAAACAGCACTGAAGGGAGTGTTGCAGCAACAACAACACTAACAATGTTATAGGATTATAGATTATAATTGAACTGATATAGATTATAATTGAACTGATGGCATGGTTTTGGAAAATGGCACATTTGAGACATGATTGTGCTCTTAAGTAGGTGGGAAGGGAAACTGAGAGAACGTGATGGTCCCAAGTATACAGCTGATATGTAGAAAATACAGGACTTTGGACAGCCTGTTTGTGATGAGCCTTCATAATATACAGCTAAGAGAGCTCTTTGCCTTGAAGGAACATATTCAAACTGTACACATCCTGTAAATGAATCTGTGTATTAGATTCCATTATCCCAAACTGTCATATGCTTAATTGCAGACTGCAATTTTCATTCAATACTCTGGCAGAGCTGCTTCTCAACTTTTTTTTTTTTTTTCTTCTGTCATAACTTCACAAAGAGAATTAATGAGAAAACATTAACACACTGGTGGGTGTGTTGTGTGCATTTGAGATGCTTCACTTTACATCTTCTCCTGGTTTTGACTCCTGAAGAAAATATATATATATATACACAAGGATAGATAGATAAAAGAAATAGATGAGGCATCTGGAAACTTCACTCTGTTTTCCTATTGGAACTCTTGTGCTAAACCTTGTAAAAAAGATGGGGTGGAGAATAGAGATTAGGAATGTATGCCCATGAGGAACTGGAAATAGATGGAAAAATTGCCATATTGAGACCAGAAATGTGCCAAGCTCTATCATATTTGGGTAATAGTTTAGAGGCAGTGAAGTATGATGTAATAAAGTGAGCCCATGTACAGCTCCATAACCGTGTGGAGTCACAGAATCATGGAATGGCCTGGGGTGGAAGGGAGCTTATTCATCATTGAGTTCAAGCCTCATGCCATGGGCAGGGCCACCTTCCACCAGACCACCTTCCTCAGAACCCCATCTAATCTGGCCTTGGACACTTGCTGGGATGGGGCAGTCACAGCTTCTCTGGGAACCTGTGCCATGGTCTCACCACCCTCACAGGGAAGAATTTCTTTCTAATGTGGGAGGTTTTGAGGTTTTCTTGTTGCCTTTATGTCCTTGGCCAGATTTGATCACACCAGGGCTTCAGCTCTCTGACTGATCCCTGGCTGCTTGGACAATCTCTCTGTATTCCTCCAAACTGCCTGTCCTTGCTTCTTCCCCATAGCCTTCCTTTTTCTGTTTGAGATTGTCCAGGCATTCCTGATCATTCATAAAGGCCTCCTGGTGCTTTTGTCTGACTTGCTCTTTGTGTATAAAACTCCTTGATTCCTGTGTGGTTATTTAGGCATCTCTTTCAGTGGAGTTTTCATGGTTCTTACAGATACCACTCTGAAGTGTGTAACTGCCCTTGTGTCTTGGCTTGATTGATATTTGTCAAAATAAAGCTTTCATCTCCCCATCAGTCGTTTCTTATGCAGGAAGTGTCACAGAGTAGCAAAGTTTGTGTTTCAGCATGGTCCTTCTCTAGTTTGTGCTTTTATTTCCTATTTGTATTCTACTGCTTAGTAGTTCAGGGTACAATCAACCACCCACAGATAGTAAATCCTTCCTGGCTTAGTATGATCATAACTTTCAGGAAAGATTAAATAAAACTGTTATATGTTGTATTCCCATTTGAGTATTTCCACCAAAGTATTTCTGTCTTTCCCTGTCTGCCTTCATCTATCTGTGATTGAAGTTGCCTAAATTGAAGGGGAAAGGAAGAAGAGAAACAATCAGGGTAGCTGCCATTTCCAGCTGTTCTGGCATTCACACACAGTGTAATAATCAAGTCTCCAGTTCGTTTGAGGTCTGAACACAGAGCCTTAATGAAGAACCCTCTTTGCATTCCTGAGATTTTTGAATGAGATGGAGCAGCTCTTCTGTTTGCACTTTTTCTTCCTTTTTTGCAACCCACAGAAGCTGAAGAACCTCTAAAGGCAGCAGTCTTTATAAATATATTTTCTTTTCATTATAAATATACTTTCTTGTGAGACTTCAGATTTTAATTCTTATGCTTCTCATCACGGATTCTTTTTGAGGTGGTGGAGTCCCTTTGCTGCTTGTGCAGCTCTGTCTGACAGCTGAGAAAGTTTTATTTTCAAGAAAACAAACTTTATATCTTGCAGGAGCATTGAGGCCAGTTGCCACTCTTCAGGCCAGTGCTGTGTGACAGTGGCCTCATTTCTCTTTCCAGAAACCAGTTGGGTTTATGAGCTGGAGAGATGGGGGCCAGGCAAGGAAGGGGAGGTTGTATGTTTTCCATGTGTTTTTGCATGTTGGACATTATGGCCTTCATTGAGATGATAGCTAAACATTTTTTTTTGTCTTCTTGCTTTACAATGATTTTAGTTCATTCTGTATATTCAATGTATTTATAGATTCCAATTGGTTTTTGCATGAGAAGCTCCTTTGAATTCCCACATGATGGGGCCTCATTTAGTGTCAGTTTCTCTACCTACTTCAGTATCAACAATCTTATTAATAATTGCAGGAGTTTGACTGCTGTCCTTGTCTGAATATCAGCTTAGATGTGCTACAGAACTTAAACCTGTATTTTTATGTATCCTGTGTTTATATAATTATATGAATCAAGCATCACTTTCTTTTTTTATGTCCTGTGCTAATGGAAACATCCCAGATCCTATAACCCCATTTTTTGAATGATGAATGTTTTCATAGATGTGTGTTTTTATCTGAACTCTGAGTTTATGTATTTGTGCTTTCTTTTGAGTAATTATTTTAAGAGAGTCTTAACCTGCACAAATTTTTTAAAATTACTCAGTATTTCATCTTCCCAGAAGCAGAAGAAAAAAGTAACTTCCTGAATTCTCTACTTTCTGTTTTAATTATTAATTCAGAACGAGCAGGAAAGTAGATGAGAGTTCTGCAAGTGTATAGATACAAGCAGCATTTTTCAGCAGATTTTTAACCTGGTATTACATAAGGACATAAAAGACAGCAGAGGGCACTAGCATGGTGCTTATGGTAAAGACATTCAGCTAGCTAATAACCAGTGTGCTTATTTATATTTTCTTTAACTGTTTGGTGACTGAATGATTATCAGAAATGAACTTTGCAATGAAGTGCGTGTGAGTTCCCCCCCACTCCCCAAGATTCAGCACAGCTATGTCATTTTCACAAAACTGGAGCATTGCACATGGTCACAGAAAGAGAAAGGTTGGGCTTGGAAGGGGCCTCTGGAGGTCACCTGGTCCCACAGCTGCTCGAGCAGGGCCACCTCCAGCTGCCCAGGACCATGTCCTGATGGCTTTTGAGATTTCCAAGGTTGGAGACACCACAACCTGACTGGGTGACCTGTGCCAGTGCTCTGTCACCCCCACAGTGAAAAAATGTTTCCTGGTGTTCAAAGGGAATCTCCAGTGTTTCAGTTTGTGCCCGTTGCCTCTGGTCGTGTGACTGGGCACCACTGAACAGAGCCTGGCTCTGTCCTTTTTGCACTCTCGCTTCAGGGTGGTGCAAAAACAAATTGAGAAGATCCCTCTGAGCCTTCTTTACTCCTGACTAAACAGTCCCAGCCCTCCCAGCCTCTCCTCATGGCAGAGGTAGTCAGGTCTCATCATGTCTGTAGCCCTCTGCAATGTGTCCATGTCTGTCTTGTGTTGAGAACTGGACTCACCGTGCTGAGCAGAGGGAAAGGATCTCCTCCCTCAACCTGCTGGGAATGCTTTTGTCTGGTGCAGCCCAGGATACCACTGTCATCTTTGCTTCAGGGGCACTGTGCTGGCTCCTGCTCAGCTTGGTGTCCCCCAGGTCCTTTTCTTGTGAGCTGTTTTCTGGCTGCTGACCCCTGCAGTGTTCTGGTGCCTGTGGTTGTTCCTTCCCAGGTGCAGGACTTTGCACCTCTCCTTGTTGGAGTCTGTGAGGTTTCTGGCAGCCCATTTCTCCAGCTTGTTAACATCACTCTGGGTGGCAGCACAGCCCTCTTGGTGTATCAGCCACTCCTCTCAGTTTTCCACTGGATATGAAAATTTTCACACTCGTTTCCATGTTCTTGTTTGTGCACTGGAGCCCATGCCAGGCTGAGTGACATTTCTCTCTTCTGTATCAGATGGTGAAAGTCTTTGGTCTTGTGTTCTGCTGAGTCTGTAGGCAGGATCTGTTAATGACTTGGGATGACTGGGAGCTTTTTCTCTGCCTCAATAAAAGAATACATGGAACAGCAGAGTCAATTGAACACAGATCTAAAAATGGTTTGCAAGAAGCTGTGAGTGTTATTTGGGTTTATTCTGCCAGGTAGTGCCACAATTCAGAACTTAGCTACTAAAAATGTTTGCTTTCCTCCTGTTTTTTGGGTTTTTTGGCTTAGCTGTAGTTGGCTGATGAAGCTGTTCACCTCTCTGTTCTTTCTGCTCTTTTTGAAGTTATATTTACAACTCACTTTACAAACTTTTCTGTGAAAAGTGCTTCCACAGTTCTCTCTCAGTTTTTACTTACTGCTTTAAGGGCTCTTCTAGCATTTGGCTGTTTCAATCTAGGCACTGCAGAAGATGGGAAAACTGTAAATGCCATGGACTCCTCTGAAACTGGACATTCTTCTTCTTCAGTTTTATTTTACAAAAGAACCCTGAACAACTCCACAATTTGGATGGATGGTTTGAATTGCTTTAATTCTGTTTGGATAAGAAGCTATTTTTGTAAAGGCTTATTTCTGGCCTTTTATATCTACCTGACCTTCTCTCAAAATACTAATTTATACAACAACAGTAGTCTTGAGAATTTATTTTTCAACTAGTTGGCTTCATTAATAACCTTTTGTTCTTGGAGACATTTGAAAATGAGTTAAAAATTATAATTAGCTGACAAAAATGTTTGTTGTGAAGGTACTCTGTTGCTGCATGTGGGTCTGAGGAATAAAACTACCTGTCACTGAGGACATAGATCACTGCATTTTTTTCCCCATAGTTTTCTTCCAAATTTCCAGAAAAGATATTGCAAATTTGGCTCATTCTGCTTTCCAGCAGACAGGCTAATCTCTTCCTAGGATGACTCCTCTGCACTTGGGGGTGTTTGGCTTTCAAAAGACTGAATTTTCTTCTCTGCCACAAGCAGGTACCTTTGTGTCTGGGTTGACACACACTGAAATCCTGTGTGACCTGAGCTCAGGGTATCCATCTGTAGACAAGGATGCTTTGGAGCTCTGTATGTTGTTCTTCATCTTTACAGAAGAAACTCTAGTGGCACAGCTGAGCTCACACTGCATGTGTTGCTGCTTTAGCATTCTTTGTATTAATGCAGCAAAGTTTTCTTCATGAAGCACAACAATTTTTTGTGGACAGCCTCCAGGATGGCTGTTGTATCTTATATAAGTTTATGTTTTTAATTTGAAAAAGGAACAAGGGAAGAAACTCATAACCTTATTTGTGCAAGAGTTAGAGATTCTGCAATCCAGACACAAATCCTTGCATTAACGACACCTTTAAAGAGCTGATATATTTCAAATGGCAGGAGGGTTGAAAATACACTGCAATGAGGGGTTCGTTTATTTCCCAAAACTGGAGATGTGAAATACGTGAAAAGAAAAACAGTCCTGTCTTTGAGGAGGACATAGCTTTAAAAATATTTCTTACTGCAAACATAACTTTTATAAAACGTGTAAAGGATGTGGTAGCTTTGTCAAGTAAAATTTTTAAGGTCTAACTTCCATTGTGGGATAAACATGAAGAAAAAATTGGAGAGTGGTTGTGTGTGGTTTGTTCTCTTTTAAACCTAATTGTCTCCTTGTGTAATCATTAAAATAATGGTAAAAACATAATTTCAGAAAGGTTAATTTTCTGTGTCAGAGTTGTCTTTTTAATTTTCCTTGTCTTAGAGATGTCTTCGAAAGACGATAACACCTTTTTGTGTTCTTGTGTTGGTTTTTTTGCAAATGTTTAAATATGCATGTAGGAGATTGATTATTAGTTTTGAAATAGAATGTGAGATCTGTTCACTTTAGAAATGGCACATTCTGGGTTTTTTTTGTGATCTCATACTTTGCTTCCTTGCACACATACATTTGAACATACTGTTGCAGTACTGGAAGAATTCAAAAATCAGTTCTGCTTTTGGGTTTTTACTGATAATTTTTAAAGCTTTGTGATTTTGCTGCTTGCTTTTTAGCTATTTCTATTTATAGACTGTAATTACAGTGAGTTATTTGTGGCTTATCCTGAAATAGTGTTGCTAAGAATCTGATTTTTGGGATCTAAATTAGAAAATTTGCTGAACAAAGGTGATACAATTTTGTAAGACCTTCCTACATGCAAAAGTCCTGGCTTGAAAACATCACCTGGGATGGTTTGGCCCATGTGCCTATTTTGTCCCTGTACCTCTGCATTCTGTCAAGAGGTCCCAAATGGCACTGCTGGACATGTTCCTCAAAACACACTGGAACACTTTGTCCCCAGCAGGTCATCCCTTTCCTAGGGTGCTTGGTGTAATCCCATTTTTCTCTTCAGCATGTTGTGCATCACTATTCCTTTTATTCAGAGCAATGTAAATTGTGCTGCATTTTTATCTTCTTTTCTTTTTTTTGCAGTTTCATAGGAGAATTTACAAAGGGATCCCACTGCAGTTGAGAGGGCAAGTCTGGTCTTTGTTGCTTGATGTTCCTAAGATGAAAGAAGAAATGAAAGACTTTTATAATGTAAGTTTGTAGAATTTCTACTTAATATTAATTTAAAAATGTCAGATACTAAAGCTACAGGCTTTATTAAGCATTTGCTGTTATGCAATGTTAAAAAAATAAATTAGAAATTACATTGCACTCTATTGCTTGTTTTAGCTAGGAAAAGGGCTGTGTATTCAAAAGCTGAGTTGAGATTGAGTCTGAGTAGATGAGGATTCTTACGAAAGAAGATGGGTGTTGGTATTGATGTTATCTAAATTTTGGTGTCTGCTACCTTCCTCATATTTCTTGCTCTTTAGTCTAACAGGCTGCTTTTTCTGACTATTATTTTTAAGTTCCTCAATAAGACTAGTGAGAGATCCAAAGGAGGTAAAACAGGTTATGCTGAGTAATTAGTTGTGAGAAAGAATGCCAAGTAAAATTAAAAGCATTTAAAAATAGGTGAAATAATCTTCAGGAATTACTAATGTCATCTAATGTTCAATGCAAAACAAAGAAATGTTTGTAGTTCAGATACAGAAGTAGAAAGAGTTTCTTCCATCATTATCTGATTTGTGTTATATTCATCTTGCTGCTCTCTATTTTCCTATTTCCTGAAGTGATGCTAACACTGCTCACTGCAAGTGTCACTTACAAACTGCACACCTTAAATTCAGAAGGATAAAACATGTTTATTGTAGGTCAAATAGCTTCTTTCAGTTCTCTTTGCAGGGGAAATTCCAGTTCTTAATCTTCTGTCCTTCCTGTTTCTCAAACTTTTGGTACCTTTCTGTTCTCTTAGATGTGCAGATGCCATGATTGCAAGGGCTCAGGGTGATTCTTTTCCTATATTCCATCATATCGTAGGTGTTTAAAACTAGAAATTTTCCCTTTGCTGCTTTTCTGTCTGTCTGGGGGACAAATAATTCTGGGTGTTTAGTTTAAATTGTACTGAAAGGTGCACACAGCTGAGATTGTGGTTAGTGTTGTGTTGGTTCAATGACTTACAAGTAATTCCTCATGTGCCTAAAGCTTCTGGTTGTGTTCAACAGACTTGATGCATGTTGTTGTTCCCTGTTTGATCCCTTCATTATTATCATTTTTGACTTCTGTTTTCTTGCAACCAGAGTCTGTAGAGTTTTGCCTTCTGATTGTCTGTGATATTCTCTAATACTCAGAAGTAATGTTTTAAAATATCATATTGAATCCAGGGTCTTGCAAGCTCAACTTTTACTGACAGAAGTGAGAATAAATGAATGAGAGACAAGAGAAAATTATTGTTAAGTGCAAAAAATAAGGTGTCAGTCTAAACCTGTGCAGGTTTCATAAGTATTCAATTACAAAAATGGATTTAATTATAAAACACTAAAGCAGGTGCTTAAAGTAGACATATTCTACAGCTAAATTAGATTAGAACAGAAAGACAGAGGAAATTACTAGAGAAATGTCCATTATCTATATTTAGGCAGCTATGTAGCTGTTACTTCTGCTAGAGAAAAGACAGGAGAAGTATGAAAACCACACTAAATCATTTGCTTAAAGCCCAGTCTAGAGCATTTGCATGTCAGGTTTTTGTTCCTGAGTAGCAAAATTAATTTTCTTTCTCTAGTGCTCTGCCTGCCTCAGAAATGACAATAAGAAATTTAAAATGCTGAAGCAGCCTTAAATATGAGTAGTGAATGATGTGTTAAAAACATGTATATTATGGGATTGGTCTTTCTACACCTTTATTCTGTGGCTATTTCTGACCTATAGAATTTGAATTGTACACGCTTATTTTGGAAGTTAAAACTGTTAATCTTGTGAGTTGCTATTCTGTATTGTTTTAAATAAATTTAAATTTAAATTTAAATTAATTCAACACAGCTGTGCAGTCAAGCAGCTTTCTTCTTTTCTAGAGTTCACAATTTTAAACTTCTGTTCTTTACTGTACTCCCAGAAATTGAAGTGTCAAGCACGAGGGTCTTCACCAGATATTCGGCAAATTGACCTCGATGTGAACCGCACGTACCGAGACAACATCATGTTCCGGGACAGATATGGTGTGAAGTAAGTAAACTTCCAACTCCCCAGGGATTGCAGCCTTCCTTTGGATTTTGTAGTCACCCATTATCTAATTCAGAACCAAATAAAGCAGTCTTTTTGTATGTGAGCATTTAATTATTTACAACTATAGGCCATAATGCTTTAGGATTTCTTCAAAATGTTTGGTTTTGTTATGTTTTTTGCTGCCACTAGAGGAGGAATATTAGGCAGCTGTCATCTTTAAAAATGCTTAATAGTGAAAAAAGTGGGGATACAAACATCAGTATTGTTCCTTGCTTTGTAGCATCAGCACCCTGCTGAGAGGAAGAGGGTATTTTTCCCCTTCTGTCTCTGTATTAGTTTAGTTTTAGATTTTAATCTCCTTTTCTTGCCAAGGCAGATTTTATGGTAGTCTGCTGTTCTCAAAAAGTGGTACTCAGAGCTGTGGGCTTTAATGTGATAATAAAAGAAACATTTCTTTACATTATTATTCTAGATATTTTGTGGAAAAATCCTGAATCAGGGGAATTTCTTTGAAGGCTGTAAGGAAGGAGCACAGAGCAGAGATTCCCAGGCTGAGGTGGTTCCGTGCAGCCAGTGCAGTTTTGATCCATTTGTGCAGGGCTGGCAGTGCCTGTGCTGCTCGGGCCTCTCTACATTCTGTGCACACATTTTAGGTGTCAGCAGGAGCTCGTTGCCTCTTCAGTTTGGGGTTAACACAAGCAGAGCCAGCTCCAGTCCCTGTGGCTGTTGTAACCATGCCCTCAGAGTCCACAGGAAAGCCTTTGGCTGCCTAAAGCAATTTCACACTTGGAACAGATCTCAGAATTACTGTACATGTATTATGCATTTCCAGCAATGCCTCAATGAAAAATTCAGAAATCATTTCACATAGCAATGAAATGAAGTCCCCTGGGTGAGTCAATTGCTTGTTTGACTTTTAAGTAGACTGTATGTCTTTGAAGGTTCATTCTTTTACAGGTCTTCAGTGCTACCATCTAGTGTAAATAATGCTGAAATCACTGTTGTTCTGTGTATGGAACTGTGATTGAGATTGAGCTCCTGTGCTCAGTTTGATGTGGTCAGCTGAGGGTACAGGAGGTTCCTGTGTTCACTGGGGACCTGTTAGTTTGTCACTGTAAAATGAGGCTACAGCTTAATGGCTAGTACCTTGTTACACTTTTCTTTGGTTACTGAAGAATGGCTAAACTCCAGTTTTGCAAGAGGGTAAACCAAAATGCCACAGTGCAGATGTTTTGATAAAATTCTCCAAGTATAAATCCTCTTCCCAAAAGCAAATCAGCACCTTCTGCCTTAAGCTTTCTTTTTTTTTTTTTTTTCTTAGCCTGCTAATATCTCTTTCCATCCATTGATAAGTAACAGGGAGAAAATTTCACTGGACAGAAAAAGGACAATATGCAAAACTCGGCTGTTAAATTTTAGCAGTTTTACTTGTAGATGAAAGTAGGCATTCAGGTATCCAGATTCTCTCCTGAACAGGTGACAAAAAGTAGCTGTGAGTTTAAAAGCAGATTATAAGAGCCCTGCACTGTTTATTTCATACACAACTTGGAAAGAGCAGAGTTTGCTGGCTGCTTTGGTGTTGTTGGGGCTTTTTGTCTGGCTGCCTTCAGAAGTTAGATTGTTTGCAGAAAGCAAGGGACCTCTACAAACCTTTTTGTAATTCTAGATCTGAACTACCCAGAAATCAACAGAGGGCTGAGCACAGGATGCTGAGCCAGAGTTAATATTGTTTTTCTTCAGTTTGACAGTAGCAGTCACTAGAGCAGACTTTAATTTCAGTGCCAAGATTAAGACACCTTTGTGGCTGCTTTGTGTATTTCACATCTTCACTTCTACATCTCTGTTTGGAATCAGTAACAGCTGTTAGTGTTCTGCAAGCACAAAAAACAAGTTTGGGGAGTTTAAATTTTGGCATTCAGAATAAATCAGTGTTTGAAATGTCACCCATGCAATGTTTCACGTTACCTGTCTGTAAAAGTGATGATGTGCCACCACTCTCTTCTAAAGTATATTGGTATTTTTTGAAACATTTTAACATGTAAAACATCATAAAGGTGCTAATTACAAAATAGGCTTGAAATCAGAAGCACTTATTGTTGTCAAATGTAGTTTATCCTGCTCTTCAGTGCTAGACAAGTTAAATTGGGAAAACATGTTTCCAAAATGCAGTTCACTACTTCTATGTTTTTCTGTTTTTACAAAAGACAATACTATAGTATTTTCATTTTCTGCTCTTATTTCTCCAGGCAACAATCTTTGTTCCACATTTTAGCTGCATATTCCATATATAATACGGTAAGCTGTGTTCCTTCACACTTAAATCTGGTTTCTCTAAATGTGCTGTAAGATAACTTGCATTTCTTTCTTCCTAAAAAGACCAATAAACATTTCAGAGACCTTTGGAAGTACATAGAAAAAAAATTATTTGCTGACATATTTTGAGCTGAAATTAAAGCATCTGAATTATGAGTTTTATTGGACAGACTGAACTATTGCTTACAATCTGTAATAAGAATAATGAATTTGTGTTGTGCTGGAGTGTTATGTGACTGATATTTCCCCCATTATATTATCTGCCTCCCTGTCATTTGAATGATGGGGAGGAAATTACTGCAGAAATATGTATGTTGGAGTCCACAGGTGTATTTCACAATCTGAAAGGTTTTAAAAATTTGGAATTAGTTTTAAAGGTTGCCTCTTCTTTACATAAGTGCTTGGTCTTGGCTGCAGTCCTGAATGGGATTTATTAGAGTGGGGTTTCCAGACTGTATCATAAGGGTTAGAAGCTTATGGATTTGGTAATGTCTTTTGGCTGCATGCTAAAAATAGAAAAAGAAATGCCTTCATATCCACATTTGACTGTGGTTTAACTGTCCCCATTCTTTGGACCCATTCTGAGCATTTCTGTGCATCTTCCATTTCATATCCATCAGCAACTCCCCAGAAGTCAGTATAAAATATGTTAACTTTAGAAGAGGAAAGAGAAATTAAAGCATGCACTTGAATTAAATACTGGTTTGTTTGGATTTTTTTTTTTAAGTTCTAGGAAATATTACCTTTCTGTCTGACCTTTTCTACCTCGTATAAAATATTGGACTGGTATTTTCAAGTTGCATTAATAATTATGTTTAAAATCAGTCATCAAAGTGTAATGAAAATATTATAGTGAACTTTTTATTTTGCACTTTTGTTGTTGTATTTTTTCTCTTAGTGTGTAGCAGTTCTTATGCTTTGTTTTTATCTCTAGAACAAAGTTGTGCTAAGAACTTGTAAACACAAAAAAACTTACTCTACAATTAAGTAATTGTCCTTACAAATACTTCATTGATGGGGTTATCTTTGCAGCTGAATGATAGTGACAGCTGGTTCCTGCCATAAAATTCAAAATTAATAGCAGAGGAAGTACTCTAATTCAGTTTTGGAACAATAAATTTTTTCTTTGGATTTATTACAGTTGCTTGCTATTGGGCTGCTAAACTTGAGCAAGTTTATATTTACAGGTCGCTGTTGAAAAATCCTGTGTTTATCAGATGATACCCTGACTGTGAACAAGAACAAAGCCAGATACTCTCACCCTCCATAAAACCCCCCAAATTACAACTAAATGAGAAATGCATCCATTGGACAAAAAGATGATACAGTAACTTGAAAATATTAGTACTGATCAAGGGTTTTGTTCATCAGTAGTGAGTTCTAATGAGCAATCAATACTTCCAGGTTACTTTTCATTTGGAGGATTGTGCATCATCCCTTCTATCTACCAATATTTTTAATGTTTAAATATGAAGTGTGTTTGGTGGGAAGCTCTGCCATCAGGACAGGCATCATCTTTCCTCCACTAACTCAAGGAAAAGCTAAAAGCTCATAGCTATGAGGCTTTTGTTTCCAGCATTTTAATATTTCCACTGTATGATTTTCAGGAAGTTGGATACTGTCAGGGAATGAGCCAGATCACAGCTTTGCTCCTGATGTTCATGAATGAAGAAGATGCCTTCTGGGCCTTGGTGAAACTTCTGTCTGGTCCAAAGCACGCTATGCATGGTATGGAGTTTCCTGTCAGTGTGTTTAGGTTTCAGCCTGTCCTAGTTAAGCTGTAAATTATTTGAAAATGAGACTGTTCTGTTCTCATTGGTCAAAAATAAAACATAATGAGAGCTTTATACTTGGGGGAGGTATTGGATGTTACTGGAGCTCGCATCCATAAGAGAGAGTAATGGTTTTTATATGTGATATCTTTCAAATAGTTCTTAATGAAAATCAGATGGTTTCCTCTTCTCCTGTTCTCTCAGGGAATGTAACCAATTGAAAACTGGTTATGTAGATATCTATATAGTAATAAAATAGTAGTGGAAGCCTAATACAGAATGTGTTAAGCAATATTGCAGCTGTGCTATCGTTTGGCAGGACAGGAATCTACAGTAAAAAATGGACTTGTGTCTAGGCATGAACTTCAGGCTTCTCAGTTTTATCTCCACCTCACACAGAATTTCCTGCCCTCATGGTATTGTTGCTCTTGTGTTATTGGTGGTTCTCTTTCCATGCCAGATTTAGTATGATCTATGCATATTCCATGGCTATTGGTATGGAACCAGTCCAGGAATTCCAAAACATTTGTGATGTTACAGTTCTGGTGATTCAAAAAAGCTGTGGATCTTGGAAGCCTGCAAAATTAAATGTCACCCAGAACTTGGGCTTTTTAGCAAATTTCCAACAAGCTCTAGCTGCTTTTACCTGCTGAAGAATTTCTCATTCTGTGATATCTTCCTTCCCAGGCTTTTCATTGTTCCTGGATGTTCTCCAAAACACCCAAAACAAAGGGATAGTTTGTTACTTTGCTGTTTACAGTTCTGCAAAGCTATGGATTCAGGGGAAGAAAAAAGTGTGATCTGATGTCAATGTCATAAGTAAAATTTTGAGTTCGTCAAATGTCAAAAGATTTTCTTGGAGCTTTACACAATGATAATACAGGCTAAAAGCATCTTACAAAAAAAAAATCTATAGATTTCATAGTAATCCAAACCTGTGTAACTGCAGCCATTTAGAATATTGAGCTCCTCAAAGCTCACAGAAAATTCTTACTTTGGGGGGAAGTAAGTCAAAATCAGGTCCTTATTTACCAAATCATGTGCATGATAAACAAGAGGATAAACACAGGCAGATGAGTTGCTCGAGATGTTGCAGACCTCCCTCCTTCCCTCCTTTATTCCTGTCACACACCTTTCAAGTGATGGCAGAGGGAAGGAGGGAGCTTTGAGTAGCCCAAGGCTTGGTGAGCTTCCCCACAGAGCATAGGAACCATTGTGTCACAGCTTTATTATACACACTGAAACTGTTTTGGAGTGCCTGTTAGGCAAGTTTGCATTTATAGAGGTTGATAAAACTTTAATTATAACTCATATGTTCCCAATTTATCATTTATTAAATGTTGCCAGCTAGTCTAAGATTCTGCCTTCAGCAGGTTGGGCTACATAATCTCCAGAAGTCTTGTCCAACCTGGATTTCCTGTGATTCCTTGAATTTATCTGTTTTAAATGTCACTGTGCATCTGTAAATATCACAGTAGATTCTGGAAAGGAAACTTTAAATGGGAAAGGAAACTTTAAACTCAGGAAACTGACTTAACTGATGTCATATTACAGTTTGCACTTTCTATGTTCTTCTTTGTGGAAAGTAGCTTAAAGCACTGTCTTTAAAGCTTAAAGAATTTCAATTCCAAATTGCCAATATCCATGAAGAAAAACTTTTATAGTTGCACTTGATGCCACTGACCATCAGATAGTTCTCTGAAATGGATATCTGCCTATGGAAATCATGGGGGTGGGCTAAGAAATTCAATTAGAATCATATTGGCAAGATTAAGGTGGTTAAAAGCTCCTCCCCACAGACAAGGTTTTTCATGTTTTTTTTTTTTTTCAATTTTACCTGTGATACAACAACCTGGAATACTTTTTGGGTGCAGCCCATTAGCCAGACTAATTTCTAGTATAAAACTACTTGAAATGAAGAGATGGATTTGGCCTCTCTGGTATTTCATATTCATATTCCATATGAAATATTCCATATTTCGTCATGGAAGATGTAAAGTCTCTAGATGATAAAATACATACATCTGACACTGAAAATGATCTGCTTTTTTTGGAAGCTCTTTCCATTGATCTTTCTGTAGTCTTAAAAATTCAGGATAATGAGTTGGTATATGTAAATGTAAAAGAGCAACCTTTCTTGGAAAAAGAACCTTTATTGTTATTGTTGATGGCTAATTAGCTTTGATGTAGTCACTGTTTACAGTAAGAAAAAAACCAAATGCCTTGCCTGTGTTATTGAAATTTCCTAATATGCAACCTGACATTTAAGTATTGTAGAATTTGCATTTGTTTCTATGAAATACTAAACTTATGTGAATCTGAGGTTTTAAGTCTTGTGTCGTAGTGACTGTGCACTGAATTGCACAATTGGAACTAGAAAGACTTTGCTTTTTGGTTTGGGACTTCAGTCACTTATTTTTTTTAAGTTGCATGACTGCTATGGATCTGTACTTGTTCTTCCAGTTTTCATACTGCTTAAAATATATTGGAGTTTTTTATAAATTTAACTCTGCTGATACCTCAGCTGGAAAGCAGTATTAGAGTTTTCCATGTGTAATCACTAAAGCAATTAGATGGGTTTTTAATGCCCTTTGTTCAGTTGTGTGAGCTCACAGTCTTTAGTGATAGGCTATAATTATGATATTTGGCTTGTAGAATATCCCTCTTGTCTTTTTAATGGTCTTTTCCTCAATGCAGACATTTCTAGTAGATACCTATGCTCTTTACCCTTCTGTCATTGATTTTCTGGGCTATAATTTCAATTTTAGTGGGTGAGGGTTGTGATTCTTTGTTTTGGTTTTCTTTTAAAGAATAATTGTAAATGTGGTTTCCACATGATCTTATATTGGTTTGACTAATGTAGGACTGATGGATCTGTTGTCATTTGTCATTCTGATGTAATATTTGTCATTAAGGGAATGTATTGATTGTAGCTATTTAGGCAGGAGTATGTGCATATGTGTATAGAGACATCAAAATATTGTTATGAATATCTGTTCAGATCCAGTGCTCTTATAGAAGGATGATATTCTTGGAGCCTTAATGACTTTCTTTATGTCATTTTATAGTACAAACACCTGTTAAGTGGCCATCTTCTTTTCTTAGGTTTTTTTATTCCTGGTTTTCCAAAACTGATGAGGTTTCAGGAACATCATGACAAAATATTGAAGAAATTTTTGTCCAAACTTAAGCAGCATTTGGTAAGTATTTATTTCACTATGCAAGCCTTGCAAATTTACAGCTTTCTACCTTTGTTTCAGTTCAGGTGAGCCCACTAGATCAAGCCTCCGTAAAAAATGTCAAGCTTTAAGAGGCAGAAGTGCTGTTGTTTTCATTATAGGCAAAGTTGTGTTGCATCTTGACAAAGTTATGATAAAATTGGATCCTAATGATTAATTTGGGTGTCTATCTCACTTTGGACCTCTGAGTTAAGGACAATGTGTGGTTCTTCTATTTGGCCTTGTGTGAGCTTCTGATGCTAGAACATTTTATCAGAGGCTTTTTGTATGTTGAGCTTGTGGTTGGTTCATCTATGGACAGAGTTGACTTTAGGACCAACCAGTTTAAATTTCCATTTAAAAAATAACCTTCATAAGAAGTGTTAATGGTCCATTTAAAATACTTCTATTTTCATGAAGCTACATGTCGAGTTTTATCTCTTTTAATGCTTTTAAATAGAAAATAACATGCCTTTTCTTAAATATTGGCTAACTATTTAATATTTATTCTAAGATGTAAATTATTTTTCTAATGGGAGAAAAATGCCCTTTCAGTAGGTATCAAGAATTTGGTTTTACAGTACATTGGTACTGCCAGAATCCATCTCCAGTTCTTAAAAAGTAGTGTAAAAGATGCTCACTTGCAGCAGCATCATTTTCCTCATCTCTTCCTGTGAGTGTGTCACTAAAATGAGCCAATGTTAGCTCCTCAAAGACAAAAGTAAAGCCTGCACACAAACCAAAGGGATTTGGCCCGTTGTTTATTCAGTGTTTGTATACCTAAGTTCTAAAATTTGGTGCTTAATTTTTGGCAAAGCTGAATCTGGCTAGCATAGAGTATGATTTTATCCAACAATTAAAATTCAGGATTCGTTAACTTTCCAGCTTTTACTTTGGCTTTTCTGCTTGCTGTGTAAAGGACTTTGAAGAGCTCCATGAAGCTGCAGAAAAGCTTCGGCAATCTTTGGATGGGTGTCATACCTGATGGATTATCTGTGCTCTAGGGGAAATCAGGCCCCTTAATCAAGAAATAAAATTCCTTATCAGCCTGCATCCTGTTTGAGGCCCACTGGTCAAAGAATTTGGTTCTTTTCCAATAATTTCTGGTGGATATGTATTTTTGTAAGGACGTCCTTTCAGTCTCGGGCATGAATTGTCAGCCTTGCTACAAAGAAATGAAAGACTTTATGGACCCAGTGCCTAAACTTGGGTTACTCCAGAATACTGATTTATTTTCTTCAGAGAGGATTTTATCCTCTGCTACCTCTGTCCCAAAAACATGATAAAAGTCTAGGATGTATTAATACTTTAGCACCCCTAAGTGCGTGTTTTTCAGGTGGTGAAATTAATGAAGAAAAGCTATAAAAACCAGAATTTGCCTCTGTTGGATTGAAGTAACAGTGTCTTATATAGTTAAATTAATTATTTATAGTGACTATTGAGTACATTAGCCTCAAGGGGAAAATGTTTTTTTCATGAAGAGTGCAAGGCATTACTTGGATTTTTGAAAGTATTTTTTCAAATTCTGTGTTGTTTGCAGGACTCCCAGGATATGCCCACCAGCTTTTACACAACCAAGTGGTTTTTTCAGTGTTTTCTTGATCGTGTGAGTATGTTTTTCTTTCTGTTGCTGTTGTTAATTGTGACTTGGGGCAGACTGTTTTCACAGCATTGCCTGATTCTGTCATTGCAGACTCCCTTTACATTAAGCCTCAGGATATGGGATATCTACATACTTGAAGGAGAGAGGATTCTCACTGCTATGTCTTACACAATTCTGAAACTGCACAGAAGTAAGAAAGAAATCTGTCAAACCTTTGAAACCTAAACAGAGGTTCAGCTAGTTTTGTTCTCATTTTGTGTAGTTTGACCTTAATGTGTAAAAATCTTAGTTTCCCACGTGCCTTATGCTGCTTCTCACAGATATTTTTCAGTCCTTATGCAGAAAAAGTTAAAAATCTTTGCTTTATAATTGTGTGTGTGTTGTGGGTTGATCTTGGCTGGATCCTGGTGCCCACCAAGCTGCTCTATCCCTCTCCTCTTCAGCAGGACTGAGGGAAGGGGAAAACATGATGGATTTTTCCAGATACCAGGGCAGCTGTGGGGAAAATTAACTCCATCTTAGCTGGGCCTAATGCAGTGTGATTGTAAAAAAGAAGTATTTGTTAGAGTAAGAAAGTTATTTGGACTTGAAGTCAGTTGTATTGCTGGCTAAACAGTGGGGAAAAGTGTGATAGTTTCATGGTCTGGAAATGGCTTCTTTAGCCACAGGATTTAAATTAATCAGAAAACACAAAAAGAATCAAGACTAAATGCCACTAAATGCTGAAAATCTACCAGCAAATACCTCAGCAACGAGGAATCACCAGTCTGTGTCACTTTATACCACTGTTTGTCCAAGAATGTAATTAAAATCCAGAATTTTTTTTTTTAGTCTGCCTGGGTGACCTTCTCTTTCATCTCTTGACTTTGGGTGAAGTAAAATTTGAGATTTTGAACAGAACTGTCTAAAGCATCTGTGCCTGGTTCCCCAAAGTGACTTGGCATCCTAAGTTTCAAGGACCCAAAAAGCTTTTGAGGGTGGATAGTGGCTTCTAAATAGATTTGAGCATTCCTAAGGATGATACCTTGTAGCTCTACTTGGAGACACTCCTCCTTAGCCCATAAAATCAATGTTTTAATTTCCTTGCTAGTTTATTCTTCTTGAACTGTGGTGATGTTACCTCACTGTCTCACTGGGGTGTACTCATTAGTTTGTTCAAAAACAACTTTGAAAAATGGAACAGGTTACCTTCTACATTATTGCACTTGAGACAGGTAAACATTTAGAGGCAAATCATTAGGCTCAACATTTTGGTTTCTCTTCTTCATTTGCAAATAGATATCTACTTGATTTAATTTTGTTTTTATTCACCACTCATTTAATGGGAAGACCTGAGGAAAAAGACTCAGTGTGAATTTGCTTGCTAAGCAAGTACACAGCAACTTCCTCCATGATCAAACACTGAGAGACCTTAAAGGCAGCAGAGGAGATGAGAGGGCTGGCAGGGAAGTTGGCAGAAGACAGATTCTGATTTGTTTTCCAGTTTCTTGGCTACCCTCAAAAACATGGATGGTATAGGTATTCAGTCAGTGTCATTGTGGAATACATGCCAAGAGCATTTTTATTACAGCACCAAACCAGTTTTTTTATGGTTTCCATATTGAAATTACACATCTGAAACTTTTGATGACATACAAATGATGAAAAAAGAGACTTAGGTATGCAGTTACAGCCTTGCAATCCACATGGCCTTACAGCTGTGTTAAAAGGGAAACAAAAATAACCTGATAATTGTAAAATTACTTTCAAACTATGACCTGAATTTTCAGAGAGCCTGAAGCAATGGTTCTGAAGTGTGAACTGCCATCATTATTTCATTGGGAGTTAATTCAGTTGTGAGTGAGGGTGCTGTAAATAGGGATTTTTAAAATGTTTATCTGCTTTTCAGAGCTCCTAATAGGAGAGATGATGTCTGTTGTACAGATCCACAGCAGTGGTTGTAAGTTGAGGATGCAGGCTGACAAATAAAGGCCTGAAGCTGTTGGACATGAGAAGGCTGAAGGAGGGTGACTTGCAGTTAGTTTTCTGAAGGTGCCCCTTTATGAAAAGCAGTCCTAAGTAAAGAATAATGTGTAGAAAGGATTTCCATGGTGACTTGCAAGTGAATTTCTCATGTATTTTTAGATTTCTAGTTGTAGAAATCTGTTATTTGCCTAATTACCAAGTGGTTTTCATTCTACTTTGAAAACAAAAGCACCTCATGACTAAAGTACATTTTTGAGTGTTCATTATCAAGATGTCTTAATGTATAATGTAATATTTTCTCCTTATATAGAGCATCTGATGAAATTACAAATGGAAGAGCTTGTAGAATTTCTGCAGGAGTCTTTAGCCAAGGATTTCTTCTATGAAGATGACTTTGTAATAGAGCAGCTCCAAAATTCTATAACAGAATTGAAACGAGCAAAGCTGGATTTACCAGTAGCTGGTAAGAAACTTGCAAATATGCAGAGCTAGATATTTGGAGTTATTCACACATTGGTAATTTCTTAAATGTTAATTAATGCTGTTGAAAACTGTGCAAATATTTTCCTCTTCATCACTGCATAGATTTGGGGAGTTTTTACCCAAAAATATTTTACAGTGTAAAATCACCACTTTTCCTTTCATGAATTTTCCTCTTCCTTTGGTGATTTGTTTACTGCTTTTAAGGTAATGGCAAAGCACTGTGGGAAAATACCATATTCTGGTAATTTTATTAACTTGAATTTATAAAACCTTTCAGATAGAGGCTCTAATATCAAGGTTTCAAAGTGTCTGAAACACTACCTTGTCAGAGAATCCAGACTGTTTTGTAGATTGATTCGATGTGGACCAAACTTCAGGTCAAATAGCTTCTTCTGTTTGTTAAACCCAGATTTTTAAATTTTTGCAAGTGATGGACTTGCTGGGTGTTTAATGGAATAGTTTTCATTATTTCTTTTTAGCCTTTGTGCTTTTTGGTTGCAGATAAGAGATGGTTGTTTCATGTGACCTTACTTATGAAATGTATAGGATTTCTTCAAGATTCTGTTCTTTTTTCTATCCCTATCTCCATAGTTTTTAATTAGAATTTTTCTTGTGATTACTCAGAGTCCTTTTACTTTATCCTTGCTAATTGTAGAAAAGCATGTGAGAAAATGTTTTTTAAAAAATTACAAACATGGCAGAATTTACCTTGAAGTAACTTTATTAAGTTGCTGTGGTTAGCTTTCAGAAGTTAAGAAGTGTCAGAATAAAGGTTGCCTGTGTAGCCTTGTTGTGATAATTTGTTCTTTCATTAATGAACTTAATTTTTCTGTTTCTGTTGACTTTATTTATTGCATGTAGTATTGGGCTGTATCAGATCTCATCACAGGTAAATACCTGTTTTACCTGGTTCTTCAGAATTGTTCTATGGAGTACAAACACTTTCTGTGTATTTGTTTCTTATTTTGCTTCTTCTCAGAGTTCCCATTTCTCTTGCTCTCTGTTCCTGCATTTTGCCTTGTTCCTGAGTTTCTGTACAATCTGTCCAGCAGAATTTCTTCCACCCACAGCAGGTCTAAGTCTACTTTCTGCCCTTTTCATCTGTTGCTTCCCCTTTCAGCATTCCTGTTCTACCATGTCTCCATCCTTTTCCCCAAGCTGAGTTTCAGTTTTGACTTTCTCTTCAGAAGAAGAAGTTGCTCTGTCCCTACACTTCAGCCAGGTGCTGTCTCAGGTGTCTTGTGCAGTGGGTGACAAATCTGAGCAGCTGTGTCCTTCAGCATCAGTGCCACACCACCATGTTACAAGGAGATTGATCACAGGAGTCCTGTCTCTTCAGTCCTAAATACAGAGTTCTCCATGGTTATGTTTGAACAGTGAGGGGTTATCCCAACAGCTTCACTTGTCTGTAGACACATAGATTTTTTTATGGATGTGGTAAAGTAAATGTCATCAGTGAAAAGTTCCACATGAAACTGTGGTAGGGGAAGAATTGGGAAAGATTTTTGTAGTTTGCTACTTGATGGAGTTAGTGTATCTTACAGCTTAGAAAATCACATGCATGTCAGTCATATTGAGATTTTCTGTGGAAAATACAGAATTTCCTGGAAATTTTCTTGATGCAGAAGGCACAAAATCTGTTCCTAACTTGTTTATTTTAAGGCCTTTGTTTTGGTAGAACATAAAATGTCTTCAAGTGAAAGTTTGAGAATACTCTGCATTTTCACAGAAAATTCAAGGAGGATTTAGGTGACATAAGTGTCACCCCCCTTGTGGCAGAAAATGTGAGACTCACTTGAGTCTTCTTGTGGATACCAACAGCAAGGAATGGTGACTGTGTCTTCTTCCTGAGACACTCTGGCAGTGGGATGCAAGTTGTTTGGTTTCACACATGCACACTTAGGTGTAACTTCTGATACAGTGAGCTGACAGCATGCTAAGTGTTTTGGGCCACGTTGGTTCTTAATTTTGGTAGCTAAAGAAAAATCAGTAACAAAATGTTTTTTGTGTGTTGTTTTTTTTCCCCCTGAACATGAATGAGAAGGTTTAATTTTAAAACAGGAAGAGCAAAGCCAAAGTGAAGTGTATGTTGGTGCTGGAATTGAGCTTTTTCCTTTTTGATTTCAGATTAACTTGGGCAAGCTTTTCTGTGTGGTATGTTTTTGCTAGGGGTGGAAGGGAACATTATTTAACCTTTCACAGACTAAAAATAAGATGCCTTTAGCCTAACCCTTGGGAATCTAGCTGATTTGTCTGCTGTTATTACTTGAGTGAGGCTGCCTCATTTGTTCTTGGTATGAATTTCATAAGCCTTTGGTTTTATTTTTTAAAGTTTTCTGCACTCTCCTAATTTTGGTTTTATTGATCACTGTCTACAAGCGTATTCTTTTTCAGGTTTGAACATTCTCTAAACATTCAGCTGTGCTTATGTGTTGTTGATAAGATACCAGGTGCCCTCTTCAGCTGGGCAGAGGAGAGAAAACAGATTTCTGGATCAATATAAGGACAGGGAGAGAGCACTCAGCAATTGCCATCATGGGGAGAAGAGACTTGACTTGAGGAAATTAACTGAATTTATTATCAATTAAATCAGAGTAGGATAGTGAGAAGTAAAACCTTAATAAAAACCTTCCCCCACTCTTCCCTTCTTTGTGGGTTCAACTTAACTCTAATTTTTTTTCCACCTCCTCCTTCCCAGCAGCACAGGGGGCAGGGAATTAGGGCTGTGGTCAGTTTATCATACATTGTTTCTGCTGCTTCTTTCTCCCAAGGTGAGGGCTCCTCACACTCTTCCCTTTCTCCAGGGTGGGTCCCTCCCACAGGCTGCCAAAACCTGGCCATGGAACCTCCATGCAAATGTCCGTCTGGCTCTACTCTCTTTACTACCTTGAATTTCACTGTTTTTCTTCTAATTTAATCTAAAACATATGAAACTATTAGAGGTGATACAGCCACAAAAAACACCAGCCTGCTCATTTAAGTATTCACTGTAGCCTGAGAAAATAATGTTTTAGTTTTCTCATCTGAAATCAAAGCACTGCTTCCTATCTTGTACTTTTTTTTTTTTTTTTTACACTGAGCAAAAATTACACCTTTAAGAGCTAAAGTAAAAATGCATGTTAGGATCAAGAAAAAAAAAATCCTGCAGTTGCATCAGTATCAGTCATCCAGGAATAGCAGTGAGCTAATTAAGCTCAGTGGAATTTTCCATCTGGCATCCTTTGTTAGCCTGTATAGATTTTCCTGCCCTAGTAGGGTAAGCTGCAGTAGGATATTAAAAGAGGTAATAACTTTTGTGTTACTTTAAAGTGGATGTCTATTTATGTCTGATGTAGCTTTCTATGGCTCACTTCCTCCATGGCTTCTCTCACTGAATTAAGGAGCTCCTTGTTCCCTTCAGAGCAGAGAAGGAAGGGACTTGTTTAATATTTTCTCTCCAACAAAGCCCTTAAAATGCTCAGCCAGAAGAGATGGATGTTCAGGGGATCTTGCTAATTTTGGGTGTCAGTGATTGGCACTGTTTTTACCATGGCTGTTTTGCATAAAGAAGGCCATGGACTTTTCTTCCTTTCTCTGCTCATTTCCAGTTGAGTGCTGACCAGTGCAGGGTAGCCCATAGCAACTCCCACCTCCAGAGGGTGGTTTGGAGCTCCAGTGCTTTTCCTACAACCCAAGGTGGGCATCCCTCTATTCCCATGGCTCTGGAGAGAGGGGGCTGTGTGCTAAGCACACCTCTGACTGGGGAGCTGGGGTTTTTGAGACCTTGGAGAAAGGAGGCTGTGACAGCTGTACATAAAAACTGTCCTTGAAGGTACTTCTCTGACCCAGCCTCAAAAAGAAGAAAAGGCATTTGGTATTTTCTGGATTGCCTGGAATTTGATGAAGGATGTCCACACCATGGATGGTTCTTGAAGAGCCTAAATCTGTGTGACTTTACATATTTTCCTGGAGTCAAATCCAATGTAAATTCAACAATCTCTTCCTTAATTCAAGGATGATGTTAAGACCATTAAGGAGAAAAATCTTCTTGGTATACACCATTGGTTTCCAAAATTCCTCAATGCAAATTCTTTCCTTGTCTGTTATTTAAAACAGCAGCTAAATTCTGTAAATGCTCACAAGATATGGATAGAATTTCTAGCTTCACTGTAATTTTTTCCTGTAGGACTACATGAATAATGCAATGCTTAATAAACAATATTTATATATGGATAGATTTTTATAGTGTCTGACTTTAATAAACAGAAGTGCTTACCAGTGAAAATTCCATATTAAAAATATGTTGCTGAAAATAGTTTATTAATCCAGTGTTTTGTAAACAAGACAGCCAGGCCCATTTTCAAGGTGTGAAGCCCCTCAGGTCTGTTCTTGAGACAGTTTCTCACCTGTGTTTTAATATAAGGGTCCTGAAAAGGGTGGGCAGGGGGCTCCTGTGTTGGTTTTTTATGACTGAAAGTTTAATAGACTTTGCAGCAGCTGAAGGCCTTAAATCAAAGAAAAAGGTCTTGTACCTTAATTTTAAAGCAGTATCAGCAAATTTGGAATCTGCCTCTGTCCTTGTGATTAACACCAGCTTTAAATTGCAGTTTTTATAGTTTTTCCAATCTTTTCTGTATTCGGGGAGAACTAACAAAGTTTGAATCTTGCATTCGCCATAAATTTTAAAATGTTTATCTGCTATTTATATTTGAAGTTATTAAATTTATTATCAGTATTTTTATTCAATGATCTATTTTACACAGTCATCAGTCATAGTGCAGAAATGTATACTACCTGAGTAATTATCAAATAATGTCTGCTCTCTGCTGTTAATGAGCCTTCTGCTAGCCAAAGCAATAGAAATATGTAAATCAGCTTGACTTTCCTGTTTCTGATGGTGTCTTTCTTTTGGTTGTGTTTTGTTTCAGAGGAATTTTGGAGTTTTCTCTTGTACTTCAAGAATACACAAGTAGCTATTTCAGACAATGCACTTCATGCTTTAATAAACTAAACTATTTTTTTCTGCCTTGTTTCTTGTGTGATGCAACTACTTTACAATACTATGAACTAAAATAATATGTGGAGTTATACTAATACAGTTAGTATATATCCTTAGCAGTTTTAGACTTTGACTTTGCATCATTTTTAAATCTTTACTGTTTCAAACTTGCATGATCTTTAAACACATGATCCAAACAGTTGTGTTGTCATTGTTCACATTGCTGTTTAAAACTGACTTTTCAAGGATGTATATTTTCTGGAAGAAATGTGGAATTAGGAATGTGAAGCTGTGGTTAATTTTAGAAATTTCTTTTTTGCAAGGGCACCTTACAGATGTGCAGCTGATCACCTGCATCTTCTGGCTAATAACCAAATCTGTTAAGATTTCTGTTGTTTATCTGAATGCAGATGTTTATAAAATAAGTTTTCCTTACTGTCAGTACCATAAAAGTGACACAGCTGCAAGAGAGGCAAACAGTGCTTTTAGTTCTCCCTTCAAGTTGTCCAGTAGTATTTCATTTAGCAACTCCTTTGCCAGTGATGGCATATAAGGGAAGGAGGAGCAGAGGTTGACTTTCAGACAGCAGCTAGAGCTTCTAGTGCAGGCACTAAAGTTTCTTTAAAATTCTCTTGGTCTTGTAAACTGAAGAAGATGGGATGTCACTGGTCGAAAATAAACACAAAATTTCAAGTTGTCGTTTTAAGAGGGTTTTTTTAATGACTATTACTATCCTTGAAAATTGTGTTAGAACAGTCAAAGTGCATGTATTCTGGTGCTGAAATTAAGGACTAGACTGTTATTCACCAGAGAGAGCACTTAAAGCACTTTACTCCAATTATATGTCTGCTACTCGATGCACGAGGCTGTTAGTGCCTCCTGAAGCAATTATCTGTAAAAGTCTTGTAGTGGAGATCGACTTCCACTGGGTGGTGGCCAAGGCTTGTTTGAGCAGGAGGAAGTAAAGAGAGACAAACTTTCTGTAATATGGCTTGTCTTTCTTTTGGGGAACGGTCAGATCTGCTCATATTTGCTTTGCTCCTTTTCATGTCAGGGAATATGTTTGCCAGCAACAAATAAGCACCTGATTGTTCTTGTTTTGCTTAAGTTGTCTCCCTCTACTTCCATTGCTCTCCTTCCTCACCCATTTTTCACCATATTTCCTTTGTTGTTTGCCTACTTTATGCTGTATTGCATAGAAGTCAACTAAATCACTATCTCTTTTTTAAAGGAAAACCAGAAAATCTATAGCTCCTGCTCTGTAAACTCTGATACAAGCTATTTTAGTGCTTGTTTTTGGGAAAAGCCAGTAACTGAGCTGTCTAGAAACCTGCTCTGTTGAAGGAAGAAAGGAGAGAAAGATGAAAGTAGAGACATCCATATATCACAGGAATACTGGCAACTTGGGAAGAATCTCCTTGCCCAGATTGCTTCAGAGGACAAAGGGACATTTTGATTATTGTACAGGTCAAAACAGTCACAGCTGAAAGAGACAGCTTTGTCTTTAACTTCTGGTTTTAAAATGCTTTCAGTTCTTGTACGTAAACATCACAGATTGTGCAGAAAAGCACTTGTCCCAAAAGTACTTCTTGTAGAATTCGGCAGTTTCTCCATTTCTCAGTCAGACAGATATGTCCAGACAGTGAATTAACTCAGATCTTGGATCAGCAGCACAAATAGACACTCAATTGCATTTCCTTTAAAACATCCAACTAAAATTTCTTCCTGCTCAAATCTGAGGAGTTTGAATGGTGAGTGTATTGAAGTAGTACAGGAGATGGTTGAGAGCTGTGTGTGAGGTTTTAGGCAGATTTGGAGTGGAAAAATGTTAGATAAAAGAAATGGGACTTGAAGAAATTGGTGCTTTTGCATGCTTGTCTGGCGAGCTGTTTGTGTACCTCTTCAGGTAGAGATGTTTGTTGTGACTTGGTTTCTTTTGTTTGCTTTTGCATTATGGGTTTTTTTTTTTTTATCCTCAGCTTTTTGCTTTTATTACCTTTTTTCTTTCTTTCTTGCTAGCATGCAGCATCATGGGTTTCTTGTTGTTACTGCTGATCGTGTACTGCTTAAAGCATTCCCAAACACATTTGGCATGCTCTTTGTGCATTTGAAGAGTGTCCCATTGTAGTCATGTGCATGACTTGGTTATCCTCTACTTGTTTATTTTGTGAACTTTTTTGGAACTTCAGGAGTTTTTATTTGTTTGGGTGGTTTTTTTTAAGTTCTCATTTCACTGGAAGGGACAACTCTGTGTGTGTGTGGGTATTTATAGATGATCTGTACACTTGAATTAGAATTAAGTAGCCATTTTGCAGTTTCAAAAAATTTCCTTTAGAAGATGACTGGTTTGTAAGATGTCTTTTTGCTGCAACATCATAGATCCTTACACAATTCCTTTCCTCCCAGTGCTTTTTATGGCTGGAGGTGATCAGTGGAGCACCTTTGAACCAGAACAAGTCCTGTTCTGGTAGCCTTGACTCCTGAGTTGGTACCTCCAGCAATGTGGCCTTGCTTAGTTCCACAGGCAGATGTGGGTGACTGGGCAACCAGTGCCCCTTGTTGGCGTCCAACGTCAAGTTAAAACAAGTTTTGTGGAAGTCCTGTGGATGAGGTTTAACCTGTATTTCTTCTTTTCCCCATTGAGCCTTCTTCCACACATTCTCATTGTTCTGTGTTTTGTTTTCCCTGACAGCACTGAGCTCTGGTGTTACCAGCCTATAAACACAGGATTGTGCTGTTAAAATGCAGAGGTTTTCTTCTAAATGAAATTTTCTCTTGCAACACTTTCCTTGTTACTCAGGATGCAAATTAATGTTGCATTCTAACAATTCCACTACAGACATGGCAAGATTTCTCTGACAATCATTTTACAGCTGTGATTCATGTTACAGGATACATCATCTAGACCATGCAGCCCACATATGCCTGCTTGTAGGGGGTTCCTTTACCCTGAAATGAGAAGGAAAGGTGACACAAAGCAGCCTTGATAGAATTCAATAAAAATGTCTGCAGTATTCTCACTTGGGTTATTAGAGCTTAATGGTGATTAGGAAACCTTAAGTGTGTGAAATTAAAAACCAAAACCTCACACAAACCCCACTTCTATAGTGCAACCTAGTATATTTAAAGGATCTCCTATTGCTCTGTAGACATTTCTTAGAGTAAAAGCTGGGAGAAAATAAATCAGTTCATGCTTTTGATGACCCTGGGCAAATGAAGGAAGCATTGCAGCTACCATAGGAACTGGTCTTCAGGTTTTTATATATCTGACTAGAATATTTTAACTTAATGTGTGAAAGAAAGTAAACACTTTTTCTAAAACATGTCTTCTATACAAGGACAGAAATTAAATAATTTAGTGATGCTGCAGAGCCATTTTCTTGTGCTATTCCATAACTACTTTGGATCTTCTGGAGACTGTAAATGGATTAGCAGCCCATAAAGATTAGTTCTGTATGATTTAGATGGCAGGGTTTTGGTATGTATTTTGCATGTACCGAAGTATTGTTTCTTAATGCAGACTTCATGGTATTTGTACATTTCAGATTAGTAAGACTGAAAGCACTGCAGTCTATGGTTTAAGTATCAGGAATATTTATTATATACAAAATTCACTTTTATTTAGGAGACAAGATCTTCAGCTTTGCCTAATGGTGTATTTGAGGATGCAGATGGAATTAAATGATACAAATACCTCTTGCCAAACAGAAGCAAGTTCAGAAAGTGAACTCCTATTCATAAAGACTAAAGGACAATTTTGGAGAGGCTGGTGCAGCAGTCAGTGTATTGCAGAGCTGTTACATCACCTCTTTTACAGCATCCATGCAACTCTTTCCTTTGTCCCCTCATCTGTTCTTCCAGTGGAGGAACACTCCCTTGCTGGGGGATGCAGGTCTGAGAGCCCTGTTCTAGATTTTATTTGGGAATAGTGGCGGCCCATATGGAAAGAGACCAAACATCAGACTTGGAATTGCAAGAGCAACTCACTGGAGCCTAGTGCTGAGGCCTGGCCCCACTGTGTTTGCTGTATGTGAAGTGAGGTTTCTGAAGTTATTTCTGAAGCAAAGGGTAGGTTTTAGGTTTCCATATGACCTTTGGCCCTTACAAAATAAAATCAAGAAAACACTAGTTTAATTGTTTGGCAAATCTAGGCTGTTTCTATTAAGTTGATTTATTTAGTTATCTTGTGGTGATGGCACCATTGTCTTTTTCTCTGCTGTCCTCCTGCAATGGCCTGGCTGGCTCAAACTCAGAGTTTTCCTTTTGTTTATATAGCAACTGATCTGTGCTGGTAGTTTGTTAGCTGTTATAACAAATAACAGTCACCTTGGCTGCTGGCTTTCCTCAGTGTATCTGTATCATGAACCACTCATCAAAGATTGAGCTCCTGCTCCTGCCTGTATAAATGAACATAGCTCACTTGTAACTACAGCCCTTGTCAGGGAGAGACAGGTGTGTGTATTCACTCCTGTGAACCCTTATAGACAAACAAAAAGAATTTAAATTACAAATAGCTAGAAAGTGAGGCGCTAACTCTCTGATCTCTGATGGGAGGAGATTCTACAGTCCTTGCCTTAGGAAGAAGCAGGGATTAGACAAAATTATTTTGCCAACAACCATTTTATAGAATTTATTTTGCATAGCATTTAAGCAAGGGTAGCCATTTCTTTTTTCCTCCTTACAACAGAGCTTCTTTTTATAAATTGATAGACAGTGAATAGGACTTGTTTGGTAATGCTGACTTTAAAACTTCGGGTTTTGTTTTTTGTTTTTTTGGTTTTTTTTTAAATGCTGAACATCAAATGAATTAAATCTAGATTAATACATTTAATGAGAAGTGCATGACCTTTTCTTCTTCTAATAGGAAAGTAATGGATTACACAATTGAATAAGTTATATGCAAGTAGATATGATAAAATACTTTTGCTGTGATTATGGAGGGCGTTGACTGTTAAGGAGAAGGATTGCAATAGAAAATTTGATGTGAATTGTTCTGTGAGCAGCATTGAGCCATGAAATACTTCTTCATTGTTTCTGTGTGTCACTGTGGGTTGCTCTGAGTCCCCACATTGTTGATGTTTACCACTGGCTGTTGCAATGTGTTGAGCTCCAGTCTGGGAGAAGTTTCCATTTGTGTCCTTGTTCTGTAAATGATGTCCTTGTGTCCTGCAAAACCCGCCCATGGAACACTCAATTTAAACCATGACGTAGCCAGTGTTGATGTCAGCTGCTCCAGTTATTCTGTATTGATAGAAAGCTGAACTGAAAAAAGATTCTGTGCATAGAGCCTTTTACTGGAGGTTTTTCATACTCAGGATGAAATTTCTAGGCAGGAAAGGATCCAGGAGGAACAAGGTCTTAATTGTGTAGGTGTTAATGAGGAGGTCCACCCAAAAACTTAAGGGAGAGACAGTTCAAAGATGTCATCTGAGAACTTTGTGCATGTGAGGGAGGAGCTGATGGTGTGGCTTGCTAGAGGTGAACATTAAAGGATGAATGAATGGAAAACAATCAAATAGGAATGTGATATTGGGAAGGATTTTTAAAGTGGACAAAGTATTTTGCTTAATGTAACAATGTGAGGAGGGTTCCATACAGAGTTGGTACTGTAACCAACATGCCATCTAGGAAAATGGGTTTTTTTCAGCAGTGTTGAGATAGAGCAAAAGCTTGGTGAGATTGCATCAGCTTAACGGGTTGGGATAAGAGGCTAAAGAAAATCTGTGTTTGATGTCAGTGTACAGAAGAACCTTTGAGGTGTTCAGAAAAATGGTGACCCAGAGGGAGGTCCAGTTAATTTCTACCTATTTGTGCTTGCATGACAAACAGATCAAAGAAGGCTTCTGCACAATTGTGAATTTATGTTGTTCCTGTTCTTGTTTTAGGTAAAGAAGATGAATTTCCAAAGAAGCCACTGGGGCAGATTCCATCAGGACCTCTGCCTCCTGTGCTTAACTCCACTCCAATGCTTAATGGACAGAACAGTACTGGTACACAAGCAGCAAGACAAAGGACAGAGAGAAGACCATCCACAGAAGAAGAACCAGAAAGTTCACCAAATGACCGAGAAAGAATTAATTCTGTGGAAAAGAAACCTTCATTAAAACAGCAAAGGATTCGACCAGTAGAGACACAAAACAGTTTGCCTAAGAATGAGGTGGACACCAGAAAAAAGCCTCAGCCAGCAGAGCAAGACAACTCAAGTCTATACAATAATGCAGCTGCTAATCAGAATTCTAATGCTACTTCCAATACAAGAAGGGAATTTGTACCTAAGTGGAATAAACCGTCTGATATCAAAATAATGGAAAAGACAATGAAACTCACTGCAGAGGTGAAAGGGAGGCCAGCAAACCATTCTGGTTTGGGCCCACCACCAAGTCCTGGAGAAATGCAGCCTTTGAATGTAAAGCAAAAGGTGAGGGTTTTGGATGCTGACGAAGGTAAGCGAGGGTCTAATGCATCTCAGTATGACAATGTTTCAGAGGATGAAACTGAGGATGAGAATGTTGTTGAAGAGATGCTTGAGAGAGCTCATCCACAAAGTCCTAGGCATGTAGCATTTTCTAATAGTCCAAGAAAGCAAACAGAAAAAATACCAGCTCCATTAAAAATACCCAATAATTACACCTTCACTTCACAACCCAGATCTCCAAAATATGCATCTCAGTCTGATGGTCCATCTCATGGAATGAATGTAAAGCAGCCACTGCCCGGTTATAGTAATCCCCCTACTTACTATGGGAATTCTCCAAAGCATGTTTCCAGTATAGGCAATACAAGTTCTGCACCTCTGCATTACCACGGGAATCGACCCAGCCCCTCTGGAAGGCCATATGCTCCTTTGATGTCAGTAGATTATTCCCCAAATAAACTGCAGATGAATTCCTATCCTGCCAGTCGCCAAAATGCTCTTCCACCAGCCCCTGCTCAGACAGAAGTCTCTCCTGTTGATGCATACACCAGCAACTCGAGGTCCTCCCCAGGTGTCAAGTTCATAATCCCTCCAGCAGATTATTTACCAGAGGAGAGAAAGTGGCCGGACGCCGCCTACGTCTACAGACACGAACCCTACAGGCAGCCCTGGAGCCAAGACCTGAACAAAGGCCACTTGGATAATTTCCAGAAGTACCAGCATTTTCAGCCAACACCTTTACAAGACCGCAGTCTTCCTGCTGTTTCTGTGGATAGTCCAGTGAGATACAGGACTTCCCCGACCTTGGAAGAGAATGGTTCCCCACAGTACCAATATGCAAACCCACCAGCTCAAGCCCAGCACTATCGGAACAGAACTGATGGATTGTCTATGCACGAGTCTGTGCTTCTTTGAGAATCTGGCTGTGCTTAGTAAAATGGCAAGAACCAAAACCAGTGAACAGTACTGTGTTAGTAGTAGTCCTCCTCAGTTCTCTGAAATTTGGATGGTTCGTGTGAGTTCAAAAATAACGACACTATTTCAGAGATGTTTCAGACTTTGGTTGAAAGCTGGTGGAGTTCTTGGACTTGCATGGAAGCTACTGGAAGTGATCTAATGCACATAGACATAGCAATAAGCTCATATACATCATGTGGTTCATGCTGTCGTTGCTCCTTACATTCTAAATAACTCGTGTTACAATCCTTCTGCCTAAAACCTGTAACACACTGAAAAGTTTTGACTGACATTGTTAATGCACTGTACAGATATGTGCGTGTGTGCGCCTGTGTGAGTGTGCACTTACAGTACACAAACTCATATGGAAGAGAGCTAAAGAGTTTAAATTTAAATGCATTTAACTTTGGGCAAAGCTTGTGAAGTACTTTTATTTCATATTAATTTTTCTTTGTAATTTATTTGAGAAACCATTCTTTTTGAATGGCAATTTCTGTCATTTTTATACAGCTGCCTCAGCATCCCAGTATCTGTTCTGGTCAGGAGAGATGCTTTGGGATTATTAATTTAATCATATGTGAGAGTTAATTTCCTCTCCTTTGACTACTGTTTGTCATTTTCCTCAGCAGGAAGGAGCAGGCAGGAAAAAGCAGATAGCCAAAAATGTCTCTCTGATCTGGCTTAAATGGTGCTTAAATTCAGGGCAGTGTATAGAAGTTTTTTAAGTGCATCAGAAATGGAGAATTTGTACCTTCTCACCCAAATCTACTTTCAGAATGTCGTTCTATATGCAAAAGACTGGAGCACAGTGAGGCTAATGCCAGATACAGAAATGGTGCTGCACCCTTCACTTTTTGCCATGCTGTGCTGTCAGACTCAAACTGGTTGCAGGGCCAAATCTCACAGATATCAGAGGATTGCACAGCTCGTTGACACCTCTGTGAAGTGCACAAAGGAATTTGAGCTTTGCTCCAAGCTTGACATTCCCCAAGCTGTGTGAGTATCAGTGTCTCTTGTCGAGTGGATTTTGTTGTGTTTTGCCCTTTTTCCCCCCAAATTGCCGGTGGGTTCCTGTCTGTGGTGGGGCGTGTGCTGCTGTGCTGTTGGGCTCGCACTGCACGGTGTTCTACACTAAAAGGACCCTGACTGTTAACAGGAAACTTAAACTCCTGCTGATGTAAGTAATTCTAGTTAGTCTTTGCAGCCTTTTCTACTTCATGCTTTCCTTTCTGTTTTGACTGTGAATTGGGAGTGGAATAAAAAGCAGGTGAAGAGGCACATGTAGGATGGAGTCCTGCGAGCTGCAGGACACACTGACCTCTCCCCAGGAGCTGAGGCAGAGGAGGGTCTCACCAGGAGAGGCCCTTGGAGTGCTGAACAGAGAGATTTCTCTCATACTGAAGTACTAAACATTGGTATCAACACCAGTTTGGAAGGTTGTCCTGTTCCCTTTTGTTTTGTAAGGTTTGTTAACTGAAAACATAGAAATGGATATTTTTTTTTTCCTTTAAAGAATGAGCTTTAGTGCCTATTATTGCTGCAGGTTGGCTCTGTAAGTTTTAAGGTACAGAAGTAAAACAATTTTTACAAATGGAAGTAACATTTACTTAGTATGTTTCCAAACTTTTTTTTTGTGTATATAACGTGTCTGATGTAATTTTTAATAACTGGGCAATTTTATATTTTAAAAATTGCAAACTGCAGCGAAGTAACTGTAGCCAAGCACTACACTGAAATCTTGAACTAAAATTGTGAAGATAAATATGACTTGGGCTTACTTTAGTTCTGATTGCTTACAGCAGCTTAGAAATGTATGTATATAATATTATGACTAAGTGTAATAATCTCAGTGTTTAATGATGGTTCTGTAATTCATAATGAAGCTGTACAATTTATTTGTGCAAACAACTTGAGGCTCCAAAATATGTATCAGCATTAGTAAATACTGTAGATTTTTATATATAAAATATATACACACTATTTTCTTATTTCATCTGCAACAGTTTTATAACTGTGTACCCTATTTTGATGTGACTGTATTTTTAACATGTTAAAATAATAATAATTAAGCTTATGTTGTTTTGTCTTTCTTCTTAATTATTTGATTAGCTCCAGACTGGACTTTAGCTATTCTCAGCACAAATAATTGCTTTTCATAAATGAATCATGTGTATATATATGATGTATCCTATTTAATTTGTACATGTTTATTTTTAGACTAAGCAATGTGGATAAAATCTATATAGTCCTTTTGCATTATTGCAGAAGTGGCAAGACTATTGATTATAGCTTATTACACTGCTAAACCTTAGCCTGTCATTTGCAAAAGCTAGGAGCATAAACTGTGATCATTATTTTCTGGTTTTGTTCTAATAATCTTACCCAATACCACTTTAAAAGAGAATTGTTGGCATAAGGAATTTGCAAAGTTGCATTGATCAAAATGCAAAATAATAGTCTGACTGTGGCTTCTGTCTCTCACATGTTTGGAGGATGCTATTGAGTTGTTTTTTTTAAAAGAAAATCAACCCAGCCTTGTGTCATCTGACTGTAGTGCAAAATACATTTTTATTTTCATTTAACTGGACAAACCAGACTCAAGGTACAGCCAGGATTGAGTCTGTCATTCATACCAGTAACAAAACCCGCTTGATGATGCAGAGTGAAGGGAGACGCAGCTGTACCAGAGCCTTGCTGGTGGAGGGGCTCATCTCAGTGTCATGGATTAGAAATCCTCACAGGAGCTTTGCTGTCACTGTTTTCTTTGATCTGAAAACAGTGGAGTGGTAAGTATCAACATAATATAGTTGAGACCTTTTTATTTTTTTTTTCCTATGGTTTAGTAATTTTCCAAGATCTCTGCTTTGAGCTGTATAAACTGTAAGTTTCTTGTCCAAGTTAGTTGTCATGGCTTTCCTTTTGTGAGACAAATTCAGCGTAGGGATTTGGAGAATTAACACAGAGGAACACAGAAGACTAAGTAAGGAGACATGTCTAACTTCTGTATGGAAAAAATTTAGTGAAATTAAACTAATTAGGATTTAAAGAGTGTTGATGATTCCTCTCCGTGTGTGGAGACACGAGGCTTGACTCCATTTCAGAAGGCTGATTTATTATGTTAGATATTATATTAAAATGCTATATTAAGACTATACTAAAAGAACAGAGAGATCAGAAGGCTACAACAAGAATAGAATAGAATAATATAACAAAAATCCTGTGACTGCTCACAGCCTTGGCACAGGTGGCTGTGATTGGTCATCAATAGAAAACAATCCACATGGACCAATCATGGATACACCTGTGGCATTCCACAGCAGCAGATAGTAATTGTTTACATTTCTCTCCTGAGGCTCCTCAGCTTCTCAGGAGAGGAAAAATCCCAGTAAAGGATTTTCATAATATCATAGCTACAAAAGAGGAAAGAAAGGGCCTTGAGTATATGCTGTGGTTGCTTTTCCTTTCACTTGGATGCTCTGCCAGATTGGATCTAATGACTTCAGTGTGGTACTGAAGCAATTGCTGTGGCCATGGAAGAAAGATAGGGAGGATGGTACCACTGGTACTCTTAACCTTTTTGGTGAGTGGGATGTGATGGCAGGATCCAGGTGCTTGCTTACCTGTATAACCAAGCTGTTATGCACTGCAAGTGAAGACAGAAGCCAACCCTGCTTCTCCTTCCAGGAGAAGATTCTGGTATCAGATTTGGTGAATAATCCAAATCTAAACATCAACTTGCCTGGGCAGCTAAGGAAGAGAATCTGACCTCAGGAAAATTCTTTGCCTTTCTCCTGATCCACCTGTGGCCAGTCTGTAATGCTTTAGGAAGTGCAACACAGAGGAAAGAGAAAACCTGTTTAGCCAGAAGTCTGTTAAGGAGAGTATTCCCTCCTACACCTGCTGATTACTACCTAAAGCCTTAAAGCATGATATTGTTTGCAGTTGTTTCAAAATTACCAGACTGGAGTGAACAACCCTGTTTTTCCCATGGCCAAGATGTGTAAATGCCAGTTACCTCTGTAATATCTGTCAGCAGGATGAATCCCTTGTTGTAAAAGTAACTGTTCTGTCCCCACTATCAGTAAACTTTCAAGGCAAAAAGCCAGAGAGTTTTAGAAATCATGGAGGGTGCAAAACAGAAGTACCTTATTGCTAGTGAAAGATACAACATTGTTATAAACCACTGAATAATTCCTAAACTAGATGCAAACAGTAAACAATGTTGAAATGTCAAAAGACAGAACAGCCTTCCAGTGTGGGGAAGCAAATCCAAAGCTTCCCTGAGGTACATAGACATTTTCCAGGGAGATTCTTCTCAAGAATCCTATCCTGAATTTCACTTCATCCTCAATATGACTTTGAAATGGACTTGCAAATTGCAGACTTTTTTTTTAATCTCCCCCTTGGGTGGCATTACACTGCATGCACAAAGAAGAATACTATTTAAAATATGCCATCAAACGCCCACCGTTTCATTTCCAGCAGAGAACATTCCACTTTCGATACTTCAGTGAGAGGAAAATATGATCTTTTTTTTGTAGTCCTTTAAATACTGCATTTTTGTCAAGTTCTGTAAATGTAGCATAGTTAGAGTTTAACAGCTGCTTAACCAAGTATCGTTCAGATGCTTGGTTAGAGATCCTCTTTAGAGGATCTTTAGATGGCATGAAGCTACTGCATAATTTGCTGCAGTTTCTTTTTTCTTCTGGGCAATATTAAGACAATCCAAATGCTTTTAGTGGCAGAGTTGCAATGAGGAGATGACTAGGCCAACAACTGAAATTGGAAATATAATTGCAGTCATTTTGGAATAGCCTTTAAATGGTTGCCAAATCCCGAGAAAGACACCATTTTCTGGGTTCTTTGTGCCAAGAGAACTTCTTACTGCAGCAGGGAACACGTAGGTCCCTCTGCTGAGTGATTTGATTCTCTCTGCTCACACCAACTGCTTTTCTTTGTGCTTATGGAGTTAATATGTTAGTAGAAAATCAATGGAACTTTTAGAATGAATGATGAGAAAACAAAGCTATCTTGTTCTGACTTTTTTTTTCTTCCTTTTTTTGTTTGTTTTACTGATTTTATTGTCAGCCTTGTCAAGGTGAGCTGTGTGTGATGTGATTCTTCTGTCTTCTTTCTCTAGTAATGTGCCAATGTGTTTTTCAGAGGCTTTGTGATGCCTTTTTGCTGCTGTTTCTGCTGTATATCAGAGGTTATTGTTTGCCTCTTCAGCTTTTCCTTTCTAGATTATGTGCAAATTAAGGGAAGAAAAATTATATTATCAGTATTGCAGTTGGTCAGAAATTCTCCAAGAAGGGTAATTCCTGACAGAAAGCAGTTTAATTTGGCAGTTGGTGAAGGAGGCTGTAAGGTGGAGACTTTTGTACAAGTCTGTGGAATCCAAAGTCTAAGGTTGCTTCTGCTTGGGGGCAAGCACCAAAAACCACATTAGACACAGGCCAAGGAAGAATTTTTTTGCACAGTGCAGTGTCCTGCCACAGAAACATGCCAGCTTGGAGCTACAGCCGACCTGCCAGTGTAATATGCTTGATTTGGTTAAGTAAATACCCTGTTTCCTGGTAATGCATTTCTTTTGTGAGAATTTTCTGCTGGAAATGAGGTAAAGAATTGAAGTCTGGGCTGGGAACTTCAGGGAAGCCTGAGCTCCTCCCTTTAATTAGGAGAACTGAAGTTGGCTTTTGGTTCAAACCATCCGCTTCAATCATTGTATTTGTGAGTTCAGGAGTATCTTTTAGAATAATTTGTGGTATTGTCCCTTAGGACTTGGGTTTTTTTCAGTAACAGAAGGTCTGTTAGATTACTTTCTGTGCCTTCTTTTTAAACTTCCCTGTTCCCATATTTCCCCAAAGAGAGCTCAGGTCTGGGAAAGACTCCATAGGTAGTAAATTGATCTTAGTGGGTGATGGTAGATCTCCAGTGCTCCCATCAGACGGGTTGGATGGTATTTTCAGGCACCTTAGCACTCAGCATGAAAACTGGGGTTTTGCAATACAGGTAAGTGGAAAAGCTTTACTGGTGCAAGGCTCCCCTTGAACCCAGCAGCAATGTGTGTTTTACAGTAAAACTCACACAGCTTTGAAGCAGAAGGGCTGGTTCTCAAACATGGTGATGCTTAACTGCCTTAACCTTTGGGAGCAGAGTTCAGTAGAGCTTGTTTCTAGCAACATTGGGGTTTTGTTCCTCTGAAATTTCACAGGGAAGGAGACCACAAGGATTATGAAGTCCAGCTCCTGGCCCTGCACAGGACACCCCAAAAGTCACACCCTGTGCCTGAGAGCATTGTGCAAACACTTCTTGAACTTTGCCATGCTCAGTGCTGTGCCCTGGGGAGCCTGGTCCAGTGCCCAGCCACCCTCTGGGTGAAAAGCCTGTTCTAGTATCCAACCTAACCTCCCCTGACACAACTTCAGGCCCTTCGTTCCCTGTCACTGTCACCACAGAGCAGAGATCTGTGCCTGCCCTTCTTCCCCTCACAGGGAAGCTGTAACTGCAGTGAGGTCTCTCCTCAGTCTCCTCCAGGCTGAACAGGCCAAGTGCCCTCAGCAGCTCCTCATGTGGCCTCCAGACCCTTGTTACTCTCCTTTGGACACTCTCTAATATTTTAATATCTCCCTTACATTGTGGTGCCCAAATCTGCACACAGCACTCAAGGTCAGCAGTATCCTGGCTGAAACACATCCTGGAGAACCTGTGCTCTCAGAGGAGGAGGAGCTGGGTCCATTCTGGAAGTCAGCAGTTCCAAATTCCTGGACACATGAAGGTAACCTAGAACAAACTGGGTATCGCATTTATGTTAAAGTGGTTTTAAAACAGTCCTCTTGGCCTCAGTGTTCCTTAGAGAGAGCTCACCCAATCAACCTTTCAGTCTCTAAAGAAAGCAACTGTGTCAGAAGATCTTTCTTTGATGTAATTTGTTTGGACTTTGTGTCTGGAACTCCTGAAACCCTTCAGAGTGCTCTCCCTTTTTGTTCCCCAGGTTTTACTGTGTCGGGTTTTTTCCAGATGAGTTTTTTTCAATTCCAGTAGAGATGTCCACCTGTTTGCTTCTCCAGTGA